TAGGCAAACTCAAGACTCTTTGCTTAGTCTCTCTGCCCTAAATTAAACAATCAAATCTAATTTATATATTTAATTATATATTTCAAATGTAATTAATTGCGTATTTGATAATACCGATTGGAATAGCGAAGTACCGATTGAAATACCAAAATGTTTAGGATTGGGATTGACTTTCGAGTATAATTCAGTATTCGAAATTTCGAAATTTAATATTGGAATATCGATACCGTACCAATTTCCCCCTAGAAACCAGTTGTACCGATCATAGCACATTAGCACTTACCAAGTAAATCACTTCAACAACGTTTGGAGCGACTAGTGAGAGAAGAAAATCGGCAAAAAAGGAAGAAAAATATAAACCCATTTCGTTTTCGCATCTCCTCCACCGAAAAAGTTAGTCTCCTAACAGGCCATTTTGTTAGGAGATACTGACAGGGTCAGATTTTGGGCCACGTTTGCTTGGGCTTCATCCAACGGAGGAGAGTGGCGGCTGGGTGGTGGCTCACTTAAATGAGATGGAGATGGGCTTCTGTGTAGAAGCCGGCCCAGCGTGTGGCGCACAAGGCGAGCCGAGCAAGTGGCGTGGTGGGCCCGGCTTCAGTTTGGGCGGGATTTTGGGTTGGAGTGGAAAGAGAACGAAATTTTTGGGCCCCATGTGATATATATGTATGTTTGTTTGTGTGGATATTTATTTGTTTTCAGTTGATATTATTATGTGTTGTGTTGATATTACTTTGCATCATTGTTGAAATGAACTAGTATTCTTCCTTCGCAAACCAATATCCATCATTAAATTAATATTTACCAAACCCCAAAATCACCCAACCACCCAAAACTGATTACACCAATTTAGAGTTAAGTTTTAGGGTTTATGGTTCGGTTTTCAATTTGTGAAGGATTGGAATATTGTTTCTTACATCAAATTAAACACACCAGGAAATTAAACACACTAGGAAGTCCTAACACGTAAGGCTTGCAACCTTAGTTAGGGCTGCCCGCCGAGGGCCCATGGGCCGAAGGCCCATTAAATAATAATAGTTTTATGGTTTAGGGTTTGTGTTTCGGTTTAATGTTAAGGGTTTAGTGTCTACAATTAGGGTTCCAGGTATAGGGTTTGAGTTTTGGTTTCGGGTTTAGAAGAAAATATTGTGGAAATGATTTTGAACACAATGTATGGTGGTCAATTTTAGTGTGTGGTGATAAAATATTATTATGTGATTGGAGGATATTAGTTCATGATGTGTGAATATTTTTGTCGTGTAGTCGGATATTAGTCTAAGACATTCATATATTAATCTGTGTGTGATGAGTATTAGTCTGTCTGTGTTGGGTATTAGTCTGTGTGTGGTGGGTATTAGTCTATCATGGTGACGATATTAATTATGGTATCATCGGATATTAGTCTTAGAGGGTGGGATATTAGTCTGGGTGGTGTGGACATTTTTTTTATGGTGAACGGATATTAGTTTGGGTTGGTTTGGATATTTGTTTTATGTGGTGTTTATCTATGTTTATGATGGTAGTGATTATAATTTAGGATTTAGTTTTTGTGGTTTAGTGATTATTGTTTATTTTTTTAGGAATTAGGGTTTAGAGTTTATATGTAGTTGGTTGGGTTTTGATTTAGGTTTTAGAAGACGATATTGTGGAAATTTTTATGGATACAATGTAGGGTGGTTCGATATTTGTTTATGGTGATAAGATATTATTATGTGATGGGAGGTTAGATATTAGTCTGTGTGTGGTGGGTATTATTCTATCATGGTAACGATATTAATTATGGTATCAGCGGATATTAGTCTTAGAGGGTGGGATATTAGTTTGGGTGGTGTGGACATTTTTTTTATCGTGAACGGATATTAGTCTGGGTGGGTTTGGATATTTGTTTTATGTGGTGTTTATCTACTTATTTGTATATGATTATATCAATTTAGGGTTTAATGTTAAGGTTTAGACTTTAGGACTTAGAATTAGGGTTTACGGTTTAGGGTTTGGGTTGATATTTAGTTTAAACAAATCCGTAACAAAACAAAGTCGTTTTTCGACAAACCGCGATACAACTAGTATTCAGTGTCATTCCAACTTTGCAATCTCATAATCTAAAATCCGTAAAAGTACAACCACAAAAATGAAAAAGGAATAGTTCAAATGTTGTCTTGCTTGGCCAAACTTTCGATAATATTTTTGATCATATCCCTCAAAGCCCTCCGTGTTCGATCATGCCATTTTGGGGTGTGGATAATTGTTATGCTGAACGGATATTAGTTTGCGACGTTCGGATATTTAGGCTGGGTGGTTTGGATATTTGTTTTGTGTGAATGGATATTAGTATGTGATGGTTAGACATTAGTCTGTGTTGTTTGGATATTTGTTTTGTGTGGATATTTATCTACTTAATTTATATTATTGTTGAAATGAACTAGTATTTAGCATCCCCAAATCACAAAATGTATTCCATAACAAAACACTGGTTTTCAAGTATCAGGACACTAATATCTTGACCTCACAGAACAAATATCAGGACACTAATATCCATACATGGCAGAGTAATATCCTGATTGGGAGAAAAAAATATCAATAGATAACATAACTAATATCTGGACAACCAATTGCATACTAGAATCCACATCATCAACAAATTGAATCCCAAATACCCCATGTCTAATCCCAACTACATGGACATTATAGTGCCAGAGTAAGAGATTAGCCGCAATGAGTGCTCCTTGTCTTCCATTATGCAAAATCCCTGAAGCACATACAAATATTCGGTAAGTGCTCCTTGTCTTCCATTATGCAAAATCCCTGAAGCACATACAAATATTCGGTAAACATAGAAAAATATCCAATAAAAAGCAGACAAATATCCAAACATGGAGGACAAATATCCAGACGTAATATTTTTAATATCTGGACATCACAAAACTAACATAATAGAAGTAATATCCAGATACAAACAAATAAGTATCCAGACATAATATAACAAATATCTCAACCGCTCAAAACTAATATAAGTGAACTAACATCCATATAGGGCAGAGAAATATCAAGACAGAGTAAACAAATATCCAGACATCACATAACTAATATCTGAATGATCAATTACATAACAATATCCACATCATCAAAAAGTAGGATCCCAAGCATGCTAATTGTTATCCACTATGAAAGGAACTAATATTCCAGATCTACAAATCGAATCCTAGATCCCAACCACACAACTATCCATGCAATTGAAAACTGATATCCTTCCTGAACAAAACTAATATCGGAACGCACACCAAACATATCCACAAAACCCAGAAAACAAAGCAACCCAGATCTAGTCAAATCCACAAAATCCACAAACCTAGCAACCCAGACCCAGATCCAATCAAATCCACAAACTCAGAAAACATATCCACAAAATCCACAAAAGAAAGCAACCCAGATCCAGTCAAATCTAAGTTAACAGAAAACAAATCCATCAAACCCATCGGAAAAAAAAAACGTAGGAAAAGAAAAACTCAGATCTAGTCGAAGCTATGCAACCTTAACTCAATCTACTCAAACGAACATGAGTATCCATGAACAAATGGGAAAAAAACTCTGCTACCTCAGTCAACGAAGTAGTTCTTTCGTCAACGACCGCCGTCAACCAACCCTTTGTCGCGCGCCGCTTCGTCTGCACTGTCAAAATAAGCCCGCTTCGTCTGCACCTTAGCCGCCGTCAACCAACCCTTTCGTCGCGCCGCTTCGTCTGCACCGTCGCCGCCGTCAAACCAACCTGGCCGCCGTCGTCGTTATCGGGAGAGGAAAGGGAGAGGGAGAGGAAAGAGAGAGGGAGTGAAAATAATTGATTTTTGGAGAGAGAGGGGAAAAACGTGTCTGGTGGAGAAATATTAGAGAGGGGAGGGTTTTGAATAAAAAAAAGTGGTGTTTTTTGAATTTGGGGGCCTGGTGGGCCCCATTTTCTTTTTCTGTAGGCTTGGGCCAGCCGATGGACTCGGCTCTCCTCCCTCACATGCTGGCGCCAATCTACTTCCACCGCTGGATCGTGGCTTGGAGACGTGGCTGCCCATCTAACCCTATCAGTATCTCCTAACAAAATGACCTGTTAGAGCATCCACAACGGCTTCCATTTGACAATTTCATTCTGACGTGGCTGCTGTCAATTGCTATTTCATGGATGTAGCAAGTCCTTTCACTAACACTCTGTTTGGGAGAAGGGAGAAGTGAAGGAGGGTGCATATTTTGAGGGGTAATGAAGGATCTCAATGCAAATGCACTTATTTGGATATTTAGCAATAGTAGTTGGGGGGTGCATTGGAGGGGTAATTTTACTATTCTCCTTCACCCCCCAAAATGGAGTGCAAGGGAAGAAGAAGGAAGGGTGGAAGGTGGGGTAGACTTGGGATGTGTGGAATGAAGAGGAAGGTGGGACCGAGGGAGGGGAAGATTAGAGAGGTGGTGGGGTTTTTTCAGTTTTGGTTTTTATTTTTCTATTATAATAATTATTATTATATTAAAATTGTTATTTTATATCTCATTTTGCACCCTCCTACTTTTTCTCCCAAACAACAATTTGCACCTCAATTTGCACCCTTCTCTAATTTGCTCCCTCCTATAATTTGCACCCATAATTGCACCCTCCTCTAATTTGCACCCCCCTCGTTGCCAAACGGAGCGTAATGGAAGATTTCACTAAATGAAATTCTCCATGAAATTGCAAGTGGGTAGAACGTGGGCCCAAATCTCACTTTTTGTCTTCTTTTTTCATTTTCACTTTCTTTTATAGTTTCATTCATATAGAAGAGATGTTTAGTTGTAATAAAAAATTAGTTGGACCCACAAAATGAAATAGAAAGTTGATTTCATGGATGTAGAGAAAATGAAATTGATATGTAGTGAAATTATAAAAGCGGTTGATGTGGCAGTAGGGACCACATATAAAATGAAAATGCTATTCCATGAATGTAGATGGTCTTAGGAGCATAACTAGATTGCTCCTCCACACCCAAAGGCCCAAAGTTGCCTTTCCTTCTCCAATTGGCATTCTCTCATCCCTCCCTCTCTCTCTCTCTCTCTCTCTCTCTCTGACCCCGAGAGGAAAACACGTAGAGGAATCTGGTCCGTGTGTGGAACGAAGGATACACAGAGAAACACCGATGCCCTGGTCGCTCTCCTTCTTCTCCTCGTTATTACTTCTTCCCTTATACTCCTGCTGCTCCCACTCTGTTCTCTCTCTCTCTTAGCTCTTTGGAATTTCAACTCTCCGCTCTAATTTGCCTTCGGAACTAAATTGCTCTCCCAGTAATCGGCACTCCCTTACGCTTCCTAGCTTGCCTCCGTAAGATCCTCCGTCTGATTGAGTGCTATGACTGGAGAATTGCAGACAGCTTCGTTGGTCTCTGGTGTCCCTTTGGAAGGTCTCGACGACGTGCAGGACTACATTTGCGTGAGTTGTCGCGGCTCCTGCCGCTCTTTCTTTCTCTCTTTAGTTCTCTTCTTTTTTTTAGTTAAATTCAAGTTAGCGTTTGGATGAAGAGGAATAGTAAGCTAGCTTGCTTCTGAATGAATGACCATAACTTTGTCTGAGAAATTGTTTAATTTTTTTTTACTGCCTCTATTCCATGGAATTGTTGCTGGTTTTTCCATTAGAATTGATTGGTTACTGAGAAATTGTTGGGGAGTAGGGGAAATCAAATGTCGTAGTCTTATGGGCTGAGGATACAACAACATTGGAAAGTGGAAAATAAATTGTCAACTGTCTGGTTGACATCCAGCTAATTTCGATTTTCTCTATTCGGGTAGGAAGGGGGGAAAGTCTATTGCTTCTTGTAGATATCAAACCTCTTGTCGTGCTTCCTCTCAACCTTCCCTGCAATTTCTCTGATGTTAAGCGCCCTAGTTTGGCTCTCGTTTGTCAGTTCTGTTCGTTTGTTTCCTTCGAATTGTTTGTTAGCTCAGAAGAAACGAGATATATGACAAATTTGTTTTCTTTCGTCGCTTTCCAAATGCCAAGTTGCGGAGAAGTGAGAATCCCAAAGCTCGATACTTCTTTGTGGCCTCATTGTGCGGAGTTTGCTGTTTGACTCTCTTGAAAAAAGATTGTCAAAACAGGGATAGTTGGTTCCATGATCACATCGTTACAGATGCATGCCAATTGAAGATGTTTTTGGGTCATTATCTTAGGTTTTAGAAGTCATTACCTCGCTTTGTATGACTTATATAGGTTTAATTTTATTAATATTCAATAAAATGTATTGGAAGCATGGTCTTTATAGGGTATATTGCATTTGTTAAGAAATTGTGATCGCTCCAACTCTTTCAAGTGGAATGCAGGCACCTGAAGGTGATGGGTCACTTACTGGGGATAGATTTAATCATGTGCTTGATCTGGTGAACAATGGCAATCAGGCTTTTCGAGATAACCATTTTGAGGAGGTACTTGTTCCACTTTCTGAGTAGATTGCTCTGCATTTCCTATGCTATGTATTACTTGTTGACTGACTTATGTCTATTGAGGGAATGTATAACCTTATCACGACCTCTGCACTCTTCTGTTGGAACTTCTGTTTTGTGTGTCAGCGCCAGGATTTTATTTGAAAACATGATAGTTGAGTTGATACATGGAAGTTAATGTTGTAGCTTTTATTTATTATAGAGTATCTTTTCCTCATAATTTCATTTCTGACTGTGAATTTCCTTGCTTAGTCAATCAACTGCTACTCAAGAGCCAACAATATAAAACCCAATGATCCTGTCATTCTTGGTAACCGAAGTGCTGCTTATTGCAGGTTAGTTCAGTATTTCTCCTTTCATTTGACTCATTGTCTGATTCTTTTCTGTTTCTTTTCCAAAATTTACCAGCTGCATAACGATCTGGGGGTAGTTCAACATTGGACTTCCTTACAACAAAATTTCTTTCATGCATGTTGCAACTGAAATTTTACTTCCAACCAGGATTAGTGAGTACCTCAAACAGAGACCAGCATCTGCCTCAGAGTACAGACCATTGAATGGGTTGGATCCTACTATACATGCTGAAGTATGTGATCTTTATCTTTCCATACGGAGTGTTCCACTTTGAATCATCTGAGAATGCTTCATTAATCTGTGGTTGCTATGTAAAGCTGAATATTGTCTGTCTACTTTTTCAGCTTGCTCTTAAGGATGCTGAAAAGGTGTCCAACATTTGGAAGAACTCAGTGAAGGCGTTCGTCTTAAAAGCCAGTGCTCTTATATTGGTAAAGTGTATTGTCGCTCTTTTTTTCTATACCAATGATACTTTTACAGTACCTGAATATTCTTGTTCAAGTCTGTGAGTTGTTTTATGAAGTAATCTTCGACCTGTTAAAATTGCAGTTGGAAAAGTATGAGTTGGCCCAGGAAGTTGTTTGTTCTGGTCTTGAGGTTGATTCCTCGAGGTAATGAATTATTCGTATACTTATCTGATTCTTCTTTTCGAAGTCTGAATTCAGCAAGACAGCAAAATTAGCTATTCACTCTATCTGATAAATGAAGAATTGCAGCTTTAATTCCTCTACCAAATCCTCTATCTTCTTTTGATGTCTAGCAACCCCCTTCAAGCTTATCGTCAGAAGTTGGAGATAATGGTTGCCACTATAACAAGGAGAAACTCTGCAAAACTTGAACGTAGTGATGATTTTGATTGCACTCTCTGCTTGAAGTTACTATATGAACCTGTAACAACTCCTTGTGGTCATTCTTTTTGCCGCTCTTGTCTTTTCCAATCCATGGATCGTGGTGAGTCATCTGTTTCCTTGTTATTCTTTTGGCACAGCTGGTGCATAAGATTTTCTCTGTCTCACTTTTGTTTTATGTATTAGGTAACAAATGTCCATTATGCCGAACAGTTCTGTTCATCAGTCCTCGAACATGTGCAATCAGGTGGGTAATTTGTCTGTTGATAACCATACTAATTGGGGATCATGTGAGCATTCTCATTTGGGTCATTTTTTCTCTTTGCTGCCTTCAATACTCGAAAATGTGATCACTTGCCTGTCCATTTAATATCAGTAGGAACTTTAGAATGACTTTTAAAATTTACCATTCCACTTTTATTAATTTATTATCTTAATTTTATGATAAGCAAATTAAATTAAAGAATGGGGCACTTCTGTTGTTGTTGCCTTCAAGCTGAAACCATCTCTACCATTCATCTACTTCTATGCAGATTGGGTTGGATAAAAATAGTTCGTTGTAATGCACTGCCTTTTTATATTAAGATGGTCTTTCTTCTATTTATGAATAATCGTAGTTTCTGCTCTGCTTAATCTTTTATCAGTCTGGATGCATCATTTCTGACTTTGAGAACTGTACGGTACTATTTTATTTTGTTTCTCTGAATGGGAAGAAGAGGTAGCTTGAAACATGATAAACTATTTATCCTATGATACCACTTTGTGTAACAATTCTTCTTGGCCTCTCCACAGTGTGACATTGAATAACATTATACAGAAGACCTTCCCTGTGGAATATGCTGAAAGAAAGTCCGAGCATGAGAGTTTGACAAGCCCTGGTGTTGATTTAGTTCCTCTTTTTGTGATGGACGTTGTCATACCATGCCAAAAGTTCCCTCTTCATATATTTGAGCCTCGATACAGGTTAATGGTGAGTTAGTTATTCCAATTTCTTATCTTAACAAGTAGGTTTCATAAGCAGGGAAGTTTGTTAGAGCTGGAAGCTGAGCACATATGTTGCATATTGAAGGACAAATCTAATTTGCTGTTGCAGCATATCAAATCTTTAAAGATGGTTGTGAGATTTATGTCTTAGTACTTAGTAGTACTAATTCTTTCCTCAAATCGTCAAGAAGAACGGCAGACCAGTCCTTAAAAATTGCGAAGTATCTTGCATGATTAATTGCAAATTCATGGAAGGCCTCTGAAAGCAATAACCTGAACATTTCAATTGTCTGGTCTCTTAGAATAGATGCTGCAACTCAAAATTTTATAGGATAAAAAAAAAACTTATGATGGATAAGATAGTGTTTGTTTGAAACTCAAGGGTTGCTTTGGCAATAATGAGTTTCGTAATTTCATTGGCAATTCCCACATATGTATGACCAACTTCATTCTGGTTTCTGTATTCCTCCTTGGCAATTCAACATTGCTTTTTTTTATGCTGATAGGTGAGAAGGATCATGGAAGGAAATCGTCGGATGGGAATGGTAGGTTCTTATTAGCTCTCTCTTCCTCTTTCTCATGTTCTGTAATGCTACCTTGCTGGAGTAGTTTCCTCACCTTTGCTCGCTTGGTACTTTCGCTGTGAACTTTGAACTTTACAGGTCATTGTTGATCCTAATACAGGTGCATTGGCTGATTATGCTTGTGAAGTGGAGATTACTGAGTAGGTGTATGGTTTATCTTCTATCTATAACTTCTGCACTCAAAACATGGAAATATTATCCTCGATGCCTTTATTCATCGACTAGCTATTCTATATAGGTGTGAGCCACTTCCAGACGGGCGATTCTATTTAGAGGTAAAACCTAAATTCTATAACTGAAACAACTATTTCTTTTTTGTACCTTGCATGAGATAATGGCTACAAGTACAAGATGCTGTTTTGAGTTGTTGAGTATCTTATCTTTGGAAGTGGGTCAGACTGTTTAATTCATGATCCTGTTGTCATGTAAGTTAACGTAGTGTATAGTCTCAGGCCTCACTAATGGGTTTTAGGACTACCCAAATTGTTGTTATTCAAGTCAGGCTTACTTTTTCACACTCTTGTCTTGGATGTATAAGCTTAGCATTTCCTGTTTATTCGATAGGTTAGACTAAAAACCGAACATATCAATGTAGTTGTCTTTTTTCTAAATTGTTGAGGCTGGGGGAGTCATTACTAATGCTTTGACTGTAATTTTCTTATAATTCTGGATGTGAAATTGGTAGCTCCATTTTTTTAATTGGTCAGAGGTTCTTAAGTAGGTAATTAGTCGAAGTAGGTCAGAAGAAGCCGTGTGAGAAGAGTGTAGGTGCACTATAACTGGAATATTTTTCTGAATTTTGTACCCTCTTAATTTTTTCCTCATAAATTCTCTAACAGCCGAAATACTGCAGATTGAAAGTCGCCGCAGATTTTGCATACTTGAGTCTTGGGATCAAGATGGGTTAGTCCGATAATCTTTAATAAATTGTTCCGTCTAGCTTGGCTACCTCGTTAGCACATTCTGTCTACTGTGATTACATAATGTCCACTTTTCTTGTAGATACCGCGTAGCAGAGGTTGAGTGGGTGCAAGATCATCAACCAGCACGATCAGAGGAGAAAGTACAAGTATGCTGGTTTGAAGTCTTTTGTTTATTTGTCTTCTTATTCTAGTTGAATCATATAATATATGCGTCAAAACAGTTAGGAGAAAGTAAAGGCAACCCAGTGGGTAGTGGATTTGAGCTGTGTTTCGGGCTTGAAATTTTGTAGATGCTGGTGGGCGAAATATAACCTAGCCATTTCGCTCATTGACACTTTAGTGAAATATGAGAAAGATCAAGGATCGCAGCAAGATTCTTCTTTTGATGTGTTTGCATGAATCTTTAGTAGGTGAACTTACCTGAAGTTATGGGAATGTCTTGGGCTTGTGGGTTCTGCTTGTATGCTACACAGGTTGAATGAGAGTGCAGGGTTAATTTCAGGTTATGTGTAGTTGCAGGAATTGACAAATAGCGCGGCAGAATACACAAGATCATGGTTGCAGAAAGCCAGAGAAGCTGCAAGACAAGGTATAAATGTTAGAAAAATGCCTTCTATAGAATTGTTGTGATAAATGTTTTGGTATCGGTTCATTTGTTACAATTGAGAAATGTACAATTGAGATTGACATTAGGTTACTTAAGTTGTTTCTTCATCTTTTGATGAGGTATGTTAATAAGTGACGAACTATTGTTGGACACAGATCGAAGGAGACTTGAGAAACTTCTGAACGTTGAAGCAATGATGCCTGTGCCATTGGATCCTGAGCGGTTCAGCTTTTGGGTACTCTTACTGAGTCACAGTGATACTCAAGTGAATTCTGATTAGAAATATTCAAGAAAAGTGCTGTAGCCTCAGAGTTTGTTTTGCTTTGTGGCAGCTTGCTACACTTTCAGACAGAAGACCTCATGAAAGGCTGGAGCTTCTTCGCTTGAGGGATACAGCAGAGGTATGTATATATTCAGGACTTGATATGCTGACCAAGCTTTTGGACCGACATGTATGTCAACCTGACTAGTTGTTTCTTTCTAATGATTTGCAGAGGATAAGCAGGGGACTCGTGTTTCTGAAAGCTGCAGAACAAGGTTGCAGGATGCAGTGATTGTGTATAATTTGTTTACTGAAACATGTATATCGGAAATGGCTATACACACAGAAAGAGGAGAAAAGGAAAAGAAGATGGAAAATGAAAGCCATTTCTAACACCAGCTATTCTATTCTTTAGATCCGTACATGACGTTGGATCCCGTGTATTCTTCATTGTAACAATCAGTCTGCTATAAAACAACCTGGCTAAATGGTAGGTTTGGTCACTAGAATTACTATATACTATAAAATATTATATTTGTCATTAAAATTAATTTATTCAAGTCATTAAACAAATTAATTTATTAGGTTTGGTCACTAGAATTACTATATACTATAAAATATTATTTTTGTCATTAAAATTAATTTATTCAAGTCATTAAACAAATTAATTTATTTCATTCATATTCATTTAAATTAGTTCAACAATTCAAATTTGATCGCTCTTCGTTGGTCTAAATTAAATTTTGCTAACATGGCAGTCAACTCTGATAGTTTTTTTTTTGTCATAGATAGATCGTAATAGATAGAGTATTACAATGCAATAGAAATGAAAAAGCGGTAGTCAACCAAATGGGTTGCTACCGATGCAAGGGCCGTTTGTGCCATGCGATGGGCAGCCCTGTTAGTACTACGAGGAGCAAACACAAAAGAAACAAGTGCAAAAGAGGTCTTGAGCAATCGCACTTCTTCAAGCATCGTGCCACCTCGACCATGATAGACATCAATCTCCATATATAGTTCGCCGAATGACCAATTGGAAATCACCACAAAAGCAAACAAAAGGATGTCTATCTTCCTGTCCATCATTCTCCAATGCTCGTCGAATTACCACATATGCGATAAACAAAGAAGAGGGTCTGGTTACCATTAAAATAAATAAATAAAATATAATAGAATTTGGAGAGTGGAATCGTGCGGCAAACCACCAATGAAATCGTGGGAGGTGAAACGGCCAAAAAACCGAATATGCAGCCAACCGCCCACTGTCCTCCGGAAGGTTGGATGCCATTGCTTCAACAGCGCGATGGCGGCGGCGAGGAAGAACCCACATCTCAGTCTCTAAGAAAAACCCTACAAAGAATAGGTGGTATCCTATAGAAAGGGTTTTATGTGTGGGAAAGAAGTCAGTCTCGACGACGCACGATGGCGTTGGCCAACAAACTGCTGAATTGGCGAGAGGACAACCACCGAAAGATGTGGTGAAGCATGACATTTACGCTTTGAGAACAGGGAAAACTAAAAAGAGGCCACCTTTCTTCAACCAATACCAGCAATTAGGGCTCGTACAACAAGATGAAACCTAAGATGATCAGGCAGAAGAGTGTGAAGAGCAAGACAAAGAAGGCAAAGGGAACTGCTTCGATAAGGTTGATTGGAAGGGATTGAGACAGTACACGAAAGTGAATATGAATGAAAAGATAAAAAGGAATAATCAACACAAGTAATAAAAAGCAAATATACTTCCCTGAATATGTCAAATAATTGAGGTTGTCTACGAGAATCCGTGGCAGAACATGCATGATCTCACTATGCGGATGGAATCGACAAAGCGGAAACCGCCACTCGAAAGTCGTCGATCGCCTTGCTTAACCGGTAAGCAGGCAGTTCTATTCCCAACCAGGACTCCTATTAATAACTCCAGCGATGGATTCTATTTTCCGGCAGCGGCAATAGGCAATGACGAGCAGCCGCAGACAAGTCGGCGGTGATGTGCAACGAGAAGAGCGAGGATTGCGGCCTCTAACCTTGCACTCCTCTTTAGCATTAGTCAACTCTGATAGTTGATCGTTAAATGAGTGAATTATCAAATAAAAAATAATTAAAAAATAAAAATAAATCTTTTACAAGTTTTCACCTTATTATCAAAATTGTTAAAAATTAAAACCTATTTATCTAATGAATCATCAATACCCACCCCTCATCGTCATTCTAGCACTTCCCCCTACCTCTCTACGATCACTCCCAGTTGTAAGTTGTAACCCACCATTGTCTTCAACCTCCATCGTCTCATTCAGATCCATCACAACTCCTTCTTAGTCGAGGAGGACTATTGCCAAACAAAATTCTGCTCGTCGTCAAGGCAATCGGAGCCGAGAAGAAGGGATCTAGTGGACATTGTTCCTTGGATGCTCTGTTGATACTAGGTTGAGGACGAGTCCGGTCAGAACCGGAGTTTCCTGCCGAAAATGGCTGGTTTCGTGGCAATGCTCGCAGATGTGATTCGTGAAGGTAGCGAAGAGTTTTCGCCATCGGTGTTGGAGTTCGCAGTCAGGGGTTTGGTTGAAGGGGGTTTAGTATTATTGATTCCGAATGAGAATTCCCCTGATTCGGTATCGGCGATGCTGCCGAATAAGAACTGTATTAACATCCAATCGATCGCCATCCATGCCAAATCCAAGCTCTGAATGGCAGAGCGCGACGGGTTATTGTCCCACCTGTTCATCTGCATCGAATAATAGAATATTCAAACAGATGCTGAGCCACTACGAGAGCTTAACTGAACAGCAAACGAGAGACTGATTCGATGGACAGAAGGGGAAGCAATTGTTTTGACGAGGAAGGCGGCATGAGAGGGAGCAGAGAAATCAAACAGGCAAAAGAGTCAACGAGATTGAATAGTTTGGTAAAAATGATTTTTCATTCTTCATCCTTATATCTGAATTTTCTAAATAAAGAGTTTAGATTTAGTTATTGATGAGTGTATGACCCATGGTTATGCACCTTATTTTGAGCTCTCAGTACAATCCAGTCGTCTGGAAATAATTAGTCTGCAATGTTTTTGTTGATTATGGTTACATCCGCCGACAGCATATAAATGGTACATGAACAGTAATTTCCGGTTTTACATTTAGCCGGATTTGTCGACTGTCGTATGCAAAAGTAAAAGCATTAAAACTAAACTTGTGCTTTTAATTAATTAATTAATTAATAATTAATAAATTTCCTATTTCCCATATTTCCCGAGACCCACGTTTCCACCATCGTTCAACATAATCAGTTAAAATTTGAGTTTTTTCCAATAATAGCACCTTTAAAAAAAATTTACAAAACTAGCACCCATATGAAAAAATTGACAGAAATAGCACCAATTTTTTTGGAACGCACCCCTAAGATGCGTTTTATAAGTAAACCGCACCAGAAGGGTGCGTTTTACTTATAAAACGCATCATAGGGGTGCGTTCCAGTTCACAAAACGCACTTGGGGGTGCGATTTACTGCTGCTGCGGAACGGTCATCAAGACCGTTGGATGGAGGGGCGATCGGGCGGCTGAACGCTTGCCAGCGGAGCGATCCGCGCCAAGGAATGCAGATCGCACGCCCGAGATGCGGTCAACCCTAGGGAAGCGCAAAACGCATCGGGAGGGTGCGGTTTCCCTTAGGGCAAAATTACCCGACCGCCCCTGGAGGGTGCGGTCTGTTGGGTATAAATACCCCCCTTCCTCTCTCATTTCTTCACACCACAACCCATTCTTCCTTCTCTCTCTACAATTTATCTCTCTAAACCCTCCCCCTCCCAAAAGCCTAGGAAATAGTGGTCTGTTGGTTGCGGCTAAGTCCGATCTGCCATCAGAAAATATTTCTTAGGTTTTTTCCTCAAAACCCGCCGAGCCGAGCCGAAGCTCTGTCCGAATTGCGCCGAAAAAATGGCCGATTGGTGGCAAGGAGAAGGAGTTTATGTTGATGAATTTCATGCGGTACGGACTCATTATTCTGGTTTAATTTTTGTTGTTGTTATAAGCTTTTTAATTAATCTATGTACTAACCTCGTTGTTATTTTCTCGTAGGTTGGGGAGGACGTCGATATATACAACCAACGGTATTATCTCGAGCAAGGACCGTTGGATCCAACCGACTTGTACGACCAACCCAACCATCGGTCAAGGGATGTTTGGAACGATCACCCGGTACATACAATTCTTCACCATTTGTCCTTCTTTTATTTTGTTAATGTATTTAGTGTAACATAAAATAAATTTATGTTGATTTTTTAATCGTGTTGGTGGTTTTCAATAATTTAATCGAATACATAGCGCCACTTACTTCGACTCTTTATAAAGAGATGCACGTCTAAGGAAATGGGGTTTCAAGCGATTATCATATCCTCCCATTACCTGGGAAAATCGGGTATTAAGAGATCCTCGGATCCCCCCTTTTTCTGTCAAAAAGACTGCGTTTCTAAGAAGATGTATACCTCTTCTAAGAGTCTAACGAGTGTTGCTTTGTATTCGATTAAATTATTTAAACAACCAATACGATTAAATTATTTACCAAACAACCAATACGATTTATTTTTATGTGCACAAAAAGAATTTTATTAATTTCAAAAATTTGAATATGTATGTTTCTATTTAAATTATTATTCATTAACAATGTTATTTATGTTAATTAATTTAGTATGTTTGTTTTACGATAATATGTATGTACCTCTTTAAATTATTATTCATTTACAATGTTATTATGTTAATTAATTTATGACGTTTGTTTTATGATAATATAATAATATGAAATGTCTTTTTATGATAATAAAATTCTGCTTGATGTCGCATAATTTAATTTAATTAATTTAGTTATAAGAAAAAAAACCCTTATTAATATATAATCATTAACGTTTTAAATTTTCGCTAGGAGGCACAAACAATAATCCGCTACAGGGGTACCACCAATGTGCTCACATTCCACCCAGCTATCTTGCCTTTTCTCAAAAGGGCACGGTTAGACTCGATTAGGCATTTTAACAGCATCAAAGTCGATCGCCAACTCATCACCGTATTAGCCGAGAGATGGAGAAAGGAGACCCATTGTTTCAACTTTAGAGAAGGAGAGGCCACCATCACGCTAAAGGATGTCGCCATCCTAACCCATATGCCCATCGACGGCAAACCGGTGTGCGTGAGTGATCATCCCCCCGAGGATCGTGACGGTATGCCCGGTTGGGTTCATTTCATCCACAGTCATTTGGGAGTGAAAGTACCGGTGAAGGGTTGCATTGATGCGACCGATCGCATGCCACCAATGAGGAAACACCAAGTCTCAATTACATGGTTGACGAAGTATTTTAGAGACCATTACGAGAGTCATCCCCTAACCAAGGAAAGTCCGGAGGATGAGAATGAGAGATATACTCGTGTCTATCTCATAGGCATGATCGGAGGAGTGTTCTTCTCCAAGAAATCAAGCAATCTCCTTAGTTGTGGATGGCTTAGGATCATCTTCAGTAGTTGGGAGGAGATGAGGGAGTATAGTTGGGCATCCGCTTGCCTAGCTATGATCTACCACAACTTGTGCAATGCGTCTCTCAAAGCAGTGAGGAAGGTCGGCGGCGCAATGTTCATCGTCCAATTTTGAGCTTGGGAGCATATGCCATGGCTTGCACCGGTCCAATGTCTCGACAGAGATTGGCCAATCGATCATCCCCTAAGAGGTGAAGCTTATGGTACAAGGTAAACTTCTCATACCTAATCATGTTTTTTCATAACACATTTCCCTTGTGTTGTAGCTTATTGTAGTTTCATTATTGTCTTATTAATAAGGTGGCTCGGACACACAACATGCAACAACCTTGCCCAACACAAGTTGGACGAGTATCTGAGGAGGTTTGAGCGACTTTGGGAAGGAGAGGTAACTTCTATACTTCGATCCATTTATATCTTTTTTCCATGGGACTACATGTATTTTTCCAATTTTGACTAACTTAAGTTACCTGGCTCTGGGGGTTGTACCTGGCTCTGGGGGTTGTATCTCTTCCTCTTGGTATCGATGGGAGAACATAGTGCCAGGGTTAGACGCCTCCAATGTCAGTATTAACCTGGGAAGGAATGTATATGATTCTTCCCAATCACCAAAGACGGCGGCCAGAGCTTTCTGCTTTCCATGCCACGACTTCTTATAGTTAATCATATAACCATAACGACTTGCAATGTCAATGATTATGACTTTCACCTTCAGATCCGGTTCGGCCTCAATCATATGCCTGATAGCCACAGCAACCACCCTGGATTTCAACTGTCGATGGCCTTGGGAAGTTATGGATGACACACATGTGTGTGTGTTCACCGCACGGGATATGACCCAGTGACCGTGTCTCTTGCTGTTGATGGCCCGAATCCTAACATTGCACCCCTCGTGATGATTACGGCATCTGACTATGAGCCTTTTGGTGTTGGAATGAGTTGTGTGTCATTCAAAATGACGAGTCATTGCTTCAGTCTCAATGGCGTGCCGCACATCCTTCTTCGAGCCAAATTGTTGGCCCTTCGTAAACCCAGTGAGTGGGCCCCATATTGGGACCTCTGGCGGCTCCATGTCGCTGTCGACCATCCAATTGCCGTCTGGAATGTGATTGTAGTAGGGGACTGGTACACGGTCAGGAGCCACATCATGATCATTATCTGAATCTGACTCTGGTCCTGAATCATCAGCACCTTCAAGAGGGTCGGAGTTGTCTGCACTGACGTTGTTCTCTCCTTCTTCATCGGAGGGGTCGCTGATTGGTGCTGGCATGGCAGCTTCCATCTAATCCAGCTCATGAAAGGCACCTTCATCAGCTCCATAATGGTAGTTGTGAAAACTACCGCTGCCTGATTGGAAGTTGTACTGGGGTTGGTTGCCGAGGTCCGGTTGAACTTCTTCTTCATATGACGGGAAAGATTGATGATGGCCTTCACCTTGCTCTTGGTACTAAAAAATAGGAATGAGGATCATGATAACTTTGGTAGGGATGATCGCTATATAATTCACCTCCACCATGGATACCAAATGTTTGACCGTGTCCAGAATGACCTCCAACGCCAACGGCTGGCTCGATGTAAACGAACATATCGGCTTTGGCTAATTTGTTGGACCTCAAGAATTCGAGCATGGAATCTACTTCATCTTGAGTGGTTATGGTATATTCCTCATGCCACAATGACCCACTTTCTCTGTTTGGATATCGGTACACCATACGATCTACTCTTCTCGTGTCATCCATGCAAGTAACGTTAGTGCATATTTGATGGAGGTCTTCAAGCTTCGGTCTGGTAGCGACATTTATTTTCTGAAAATTGCCACCGACATAGGTGGCACCCTTTCCGGTCTCTTCCGTGTAACCATTCCACCGTAAGCCAAGCGTGAAATGGCGGAATGCCATATGCACACAAAAAAACCGTAGTTCAGTTAATATCATACAAAACCACAAATCACAAATAACAATAAAAAGTAACACAAAATAAACTTACGAGTTAATGTTAATGGAAAAAACACTAAAGAAATATAGAGATACAACAGAAAAATGAGAAGAGAGATGGAGAGGTGTGAAGAGTAGAGGTTTTCCAGGCAGTCTTATATAGGCAAAAAAATTAGGAAAACTGCACCTTAGAGGTGCGATTTTGGTCTGCCATGCAGCCCTACGTCTGTAATTCTGCATGGGTGATTGTCGGGTGTCGGAAAATTATTGACACACAGACCGCACTTTGGGGGTGCGGTCTATGTGCATAAACCGCATCTTAGACATGCGGTTTGCTTTTGGAGGAATAAACCGCATCTCTAAGGTGCGGTTTGCCTAGGTTAGGCCAACACCGCACCTCGGCCATGCGTTTTATGTAGGGCAGACGTGAAAACGCATGGCCAAAATGCGGTTTAGCCCCAGGAAAATGGACCGCACCCTGCAGGTGCGGTTTATATATAAAACGCACCTGTAGGATGCGGTTTATATATAAAACGCACCACAAGGGTGCGGTCCAAAAAAAAAGTGCTAATTTTGTACATATTTTTGGAAGGGTGCTAGTTTTGTAATTTTTTTTTTAAAGGTGCTATTTCTGAAAAAATCTCTTAAAAATCCATCTTCATCATCGTAGTTGTGGGCCGGCCATCATCACCATAGCCTTCGGCGCTGCAACTCACCTCGTTCTTCTTTAAACGAAAAAAAATCTGGATATCGACTCCTGCCGTCAGTCCAAATCACCATCGCTATAACCGTCATTGTTGCCGCTAGGCCATCCCCTCGTTCACCGGCATCGAGTAGCAGTTGCCAGCCGGAGAATTTGTCAGAGTTCAAATTATTTCCAGCGGCTGCTTGGCGATTGAATACACCGAGTGAGATGAAGAAAATGGGTACGAAGAAAACAATATATTAATCTATCGTTTTGCTAGTATTGGGCCTTCAGTTGATAATGGTGATCGATCAATTGAAGATGATGGATAACTCTTCCACAAATCAGAAAGCTATTTTCAACTTGTTGTGTGCTCGGCAAAGAATGTAGAAATTGATGATGCGGAAGACAAAAAGAACACACGAGACAATGATTTTACGTGGTATCCTCGATCGATTGATTGATCGAAACTAATCCACAGTGAGCTCGGAACGAGCTCACGACTGATATTTTATTAGGGACTACATTGTGACGGTTTGCTTACGACAATCTCGTAGTTAAAACCCTAATGATAACCAGGTTTCCTTCTTTGACAAGGACAAGGAAACAAGGGACTTGGAGGACAAGGAATTAATTATTTTTGACTAAATAATTAATATCCTCAACACTCCCCCTCAAGCGAAGACATGAGTGACAAGAATGTCGAGCTTGAAAAAGGAAATGTGACGAACAAGCATGACAAGCTTGAACAACAAAACTCGAGATGAATAACATCTCTGACGAGGTTGATTTGGAGACGATTGACTCTCTCCCTTGAACAACCTGACGAAGACGGTTGAATGCATCTTCTTGAACGTCGTGATGGAGACGGTTGACTGCGTCTCTTGAATGACTTGACGGAGACGGTTGACTACGTCTATCCGTATGATATGGTGGAGATGGTTGACTGCATCTCCTGAACGACTTGACTCCCTATTCTCCCCCTCAAGCTGACGCATGAACGATGTGAATGCCCAGCTTGAAAGTTAAAATGGTGAAGACTGAAATTGACCAATTATGAAAGTCGAGGGGACAATCGGTTCTTGGACTGTGACTACCTCGCTTCATGACCTCAAACTCTGGTTACTGAAGGGACAACCAAGACTTGGGTTTTGACTGTCTTCAACTTCATGACTTTGTTGAAGATTTATCTTCTGTGGACTTGCGTCAAAACTTGTGACCTTGAATTGATGACGTTGACTTGACCCCATCCTTGTAGCAATTTTCAATTCATTTCAATGCCTCCGAGACTGAGAGTCCCCGACCGCAACGATGACATGATATAACTCCATTGACCCAACCGACTCCCACCAAGACTGACAAGAATGAATTTGCTCGTGTGAACTAGAGACGGACAGAAGCATGACAAAGACAAAAACTGTTGACCTGGAGCTGTTGTTCTTGCCATCTGACAAAACAGATTAGCGGCGACGAAGGTGAACAAATAGATTGGAGAAGCTTGTGCACGTTGCCTCTCAAGACGTTGGCTGACTCGAGTGGGTTGTGATGAGTTACGAACCGAACCAGAGGAAGGTGGCGGCAAACCCTCTCCCAAATAATTCTTAGATGCCCGACCAACAATGCTGACTGGTGACTGAAAACGTGGCGACAATTTGAGATTCTCGGCCACACCTGTTGCGCGACCAGAACGAGAACCACAACCACGCTAGCAGACTGGAGATGACGACCTGGACGGAATTGAATGGTGACAAGCGGACAAAATTTAGGATAAACCCTCGACAGCGGCGGAGACACCTTTGCTTCTTCATCTGACTTGATGACGATCCGCAAGACAGAAATACCAGCTGCAGAGATGTAGACAAAAATGAATCAAACTGCCGACGATGTTGGACTGGGGATAGAGACTCGTCGGGGATAGAGACTCGTCGGGACAACGATTACGATGAGATCGGCCATCGCTGCTGACCTAACCTTTGGTGACCAGTGACTGAAATCGGTAGAGACTTGATGACCTTCAAAAGGAAATGTCGCCCCTAGGGCCTCGAAGAAAGACGATACATGGCGAACCTAGCGGCAGACGAAGAGCGTGAAGCGGACAAGCACCAACTTGACGACTTATGGCACCTTGGCTTCGATCTAACAACAGATCTAGATGTCTCGTTCTCGACGGCGGGAAGGACTTCGCCGTCGAACTACAATGGAGCAGAGGCGGCAACGATACAGATCCGAAGTCGGGGCCGGAGTGGACATCGGCTCTTCTTTCGACGACGATCGTGATTAATCGTGGGACGTCGGGATGATGTTGGAGATGCCGGCTGACACCGGCAGTGGCTACTGTGAAAGTAGCGTGAGAGATTGATGGACGGCGGTTCGGACTTCGCCTATGGAGAGATTGAATGCGGAAGCTTAAAACCCTAACAGGGATCGAGTTTAGCTCTGATACCATGTAGAAATTGATGATGCGGAAGACGAAAAGAACACACGAGACAACGATTTTACGTGGTATCCTCGATCGATTGATTGATCGAGACTAATCCACGGTGAGCTCGGAACGAGCTCACGACTGATATTTTATTAGGGACTACATTGTGACGGCTTGCTTACGACAATCTCGTAGCTAAGCTTATATAGAGAGACTTAGGGTTAAAACCCTAATGATAACCAAGTTTCCTTCTTTGACAAGGACAAGGAAACCAGGGACTTGGAGGACAAGGAATTAATTATTTTTGACTAAATAATTAATATCCTCAACAAAGAATAATTTTACTATATGAAAATGAGAAAAATAAAACTCAACCGAAATTATAGGTTTAACCGGTTTTAACTAGGTGCTGATTAGTGATGAAAGTATCTGACGAATGCAAAGGAGATGGCGGCACCACAGAACAGAACGCACCATTTTTACCAGAATCCCTCATCACAATTTCCCATCCAAAGGACTATTCAATTCAATATATTCGTACTATGAGTTGTGGTGATAGCATGGAAATTCTAGTTGTTAGCTGGGTTGGAGAATGGAGAGTATGGGAGATACCCATAGTTTTGAGCAGAGGCGTGGCGACAGAACAAGGAAGCAAGCAAGAGGAGAGGGTTTATGGAGGGAAAGGAAGGGCAGTATTTTTTGTAAGGTCCAACGCATAGCTCGGTAGCATCAGTTAAAAAGAGCATTTAGTTTTATGGTTTATGCTCTTATTACAGCATTTTAGTTTCAACTGTGGAGATCTGTTTTCCTGTCTCTCTTACCAAGTCCTCTCTCATCCCATCCTCATTCTCATTCTCATCCATCCCTAAACTTCAAACCAAACTCCTTTATGCTCCTGCTTCTTCTTCTTCTTCTTTGCCCTTTTGGGGTTGTTGACGAGACCACCAAACCAAACACACCCAAAACGTCACTCTCTCTCTTCCATTCCATTCCACACCACCTTCATCCCCTGCACGTCTTGGCCGCCCACTTACGTGCTTGCACATTTCCTAAAGCTATCTTCAATCGCCGATCGACGGCCATGCCTTTATCACCTTCATCGCCATTGCTTCCTTCCTGCTAAACATTCTTCTCCCGCAAAAAGGGCAGCAATGGGAGGAGGAGAGAATCCCAAAAGGCGACGCGTCTGCTCCTCCCTCCTTTCACCTCTCTTCATTCTCATCACAATTTCAATCCTAATAACCTCCACTGTCTCTGCCGACGATGACAACAGCAACAGCAACAGCAACGGCAGCGCTTCTCCTTCCGCTGCGCCCGCGGCGGCGACCACTTCAGGCCCTGTTTCATACACGCCCCCTGACAGCTACCTCCTCAATTGCGGATCGCCTCACGACACCAAGCTCGACGACGGCCGGACTTTCCAATCCGATTCCTCCACCTCGGCCTACCTCCAGACCAGTGAAGAGGTCAAAGTTTCTGTTGATTCCATCCCTTCCTCTGTTCTTGGCTCTGCTTCTTCCGCCATCTCGCCTTCCGCACTCCCTCTGTTTCGCAGCGCCAGGATCTTCACTTCCGTGTCCAAATTCACGCTCCCAGTCACTCGGCCGGGGAGGCATTGGCTTCGCCTCTACTTCTACCCTCTCCCTAACCCTCACTGCACTCCTTCCTCTGCCGTCTTCAGCGTCGCCACCGCCACTTCCCTCCTCCTGCACGACTTCTCCGTCGCGGAAAACTCCCCGCCCGTCTTCAAGGAGTATCTCCTCGACGTCACGGCCGACCAATTCGCCCTCTTCTTCAATCCCAGAACCTCCTGCGCATTCCTCAACGCCCTGGAGCTTGTCTCTGTTCCCGACGGGCTTATCTCCGACGAAGCATCCCCGGTCCCCGGTGCTGCTTTCAAGGGTTTGTCCAAGTTCGCGTTTCAGGTTTCTTACAGGCTGAATGTTGGAGGGCCGATCATAACCCCTGCCGATGACGCATTGACGAGGACATGGACGGTAGATACTCCGTACAATGATTTCCCTCAAGGAGCCAAGAACGTCTCTGTATCCCCGGACACCATCAAGTTCCCCATGTCCTCCGGACCTGCAGCAGCGACGCCTTACATTGCGCCCAGCCTGGTCTACGCCACTGCAGATCAAATGGCGGATTCAGAGACCCAAACCCAGAATTTCAACTTGACGTGGAAGGTACCCGCTGATTCGGGATTCTCCTACCTAATCAGGCTCCATTTCTGTGACATTGTGAGCAAGTCTCTCGACAGCTTGTACTTCAACGTCTACATCAACGGATTCACCGCGGGCGACTCACCCGTGGACCTCTCCTCCATCGACCGTGCGCTCTCCACCGCGTACTACAAGGATTTCGTGGTCAGCGGCCCTTCCATCTCCAACGATTCCTTCTTGATTCAGGTGGGTCCGGACACCCAGATGCAGTCGGGCACAATGAATGCGATTCTCAACGGGATCGAGGTGATGAAGATGAGCCGCACCGACGGCAGTCTGGATGGCATTGTTGGCGTCGGTGGGTTCATGGGCAGAGGAGCCTTGAAGGTGATTACTGGGATTGGATTGGGAATGGCAGTCACTGGTTTGCTTTTGCTTGGTTTGATCATGGTGAGGTGGCACAACAGGCCTAAAGGTTGGGAGAAGAGGAAAAGCTTCTCATCGTGGCTCCTTCCACTCCACGGGAGCACCCAGTTCTCTGTTTCCAGTAGCAAGAGCAGTTCCAGGAAATCCAGCACCAGCTTCTTCAGCTCAAGAAAATCAAAATGCTACTCCTCGCCTCATTTCTCCAATCCCGCTCTCGGCAGGTAGATTTTATTTATGTGTTGAACAAGTAGAATGACACTATTAGACTCTGTCTGTTACTCTAATTCTGATAAATTATAGTTCTATCCTCTTGTTGTTGTTACTCTAAATTTTAAATTCATCGCTGCTACAGGTACTTCAGCTTCGCGGAGTTACAGACCGCGACTCAGAACTTCGATGAAGCTGCAATCCTGGGTGTAGGCGGGTTCGGGAAAGTGTACCTGGGAGTTTTGGAGGACGGCACCAAAGTGGCCATAAAACGAGGGATTCCGGGTTCGGAGCAAGGAATAAACGAGTTCCAGACGGAGATACAACTGCTCTCCAAGCTCCGACACCGCCATTTGGTTTCCCTAATCGGATTCTCCGATGAGCAGTCGGAGATGATTCTGGTATACGAGTACATGGCCAACGGCCCACTCCGCGACCATCTCTACGGGAAGGCGAAACAGGGGACCATGTCTTGGAAGCAGCGGCTGGAGATCTGCATTGGATCCGCCAGAGGGCTGCATTACTTGCACACGGGAGCATCGGAAGCCATAATCCATCGCGACGTGAAGACCACAAACATTTTGCTGGACGAGAAGCTAGTGGCCAAAGTGGCCGATTTCGGGCTCTCCAAGGCTGCTCCTACGGATAGAGGGCCCGTCAGCACGGCTGTGAAGGGGAGCTTTGGGTACCTTGATCCCGAGTACTTCAGGAGGCAGCAGCTGACTGATAAATCGGATGTGTATTCGTTTGGGGTGCTTCTGTTCGAGGTTCTATGCGCGAGGCCGGTGATATGTCCGACGTTGCCTAGGGAGCAAGTGAACTTAGCGGAGTGGGCTATGCGGTGCTACAACAAGGGGACGCTTGATGGGATCATTGATAAGGAAATTAAGGAGAGCATACACTCAGAATCGTTGAACAAGTTCGTCGAGGCCGCCGAGAAGTGTTTGGCCGAGTATGGTGTGGATAGGCCGGCAATGGGAGACGTGCTGTGGAATTTGGAGTATGCTCTGCAGTTGCAGGATGCTGCTGCTTCCAATTCTTCTTCTTCTCCGTCAGTGGAGGGTGCTTGTGCTGACGAGAGGAGTACAGTGAATTTGATTGCTTTTGAGAGCGGTGGTGGGAAGGGTAGCGATGATGTGGAGAAGGGAGAGTGTGGCGCTCAAGTTGGTGGGGTGGATGATTCTCAAGTGATTGAATCGTCCACAATCATTTCCCATTTTGGGGATGTTCAAGGAAGGTAACTGTGTGTGATTAAGTGGAAGACTTCCTTTGTTCAGAATCTGATTCTAATTTGTTTAGATTTTTACCCTTTCAACAGTTCTTTTTTTTTTTTTTTTCCTCATAGTTTGTTTACTTTTTCATCTGTATAATTCATTTGGTGTTGTACTTAGTTTGTTTTAGCAGTTGAGTTCATAATGATATTGTACCATGTGTTAATGTTGCCGCTAGCACTTACTTCCTCAAACTCTAGCTATGTAAATCTCTGAAATTTCAGTCCCCTTGATCATAGAGTTAATCGCAAGCCTGCCGCTGTGTTCGAATTCCCAACATGGTGTAGTCTTGATGCTTCCATAACCATAGGCAGTGTTGCCATAATGCTTACGATGATGTTTACTTAAATTGCAAGCCTGTTACTGATGCTGAAATTTATTTGCAGCAAGAAAAGGTTAGTCACTTTGCTGGGCATGCTATAACTTATTTGGCAGCAACACCAACAACAAGTATCAATGGTTTGGTTATGATGATTTCAAAGTGGTTTAATTGTGGTCATGCAGGAGGCTGGGCTTATTGAGGGGTTCCATATTGATGAGAACGCACTGCAGGGGCAGGTGTCTCACCTCCTGTACGCTGACGATGCTATAGTTTTCTGCAATGCTACCGAGGAGGAAGTTCTCAATTTGCTGGCTGCGTTGTTGTGCTTCCAATCCATCACTGGACTCAAAATCAATCTTGACAAAAGTAAAATCTTTCCAGTTGGTGAAGTGGAAAACATTGGCAGACTTGCTGAGATTCTTGGATGTGATTGGAGTTTCCTTCATACTGTGTACCTTGGGCTGCCGCTTGGGGCACATCCTACTTCGACGACAATTTGGGATATCATTCTATTTAAAACGCAAAAGAAGCTGGAAGGGTGGCAAGGTAAATATCTTTCCTTGGGTGGAAGAGTTATCTTGTGCAATGCAGTGTTAGCTAGCCAACCTCTCTACCAATGTTCCCTTTTTCGTGCTCCAGCCACCATAATTACTAAGCTAGAAAGGATCCAGAGAGATTTCTTATGGTCAGGGGTAAGTCAAGAGAAGAAGATTCATTTAATGGCGTGGGAGACTTGCAAAACGCCAAGGAAGTTTGGTGGATTGGGCATCACTGATTTGAAGTCTCGGAATACAGCCTTGTTGGCTAAATGGCTTTGGAGATTTGCCCATGAAAGGGATGAATGGTGGAGAGAATTGATTAGCATCAAATACCCTCACAAAGGTTCAGAGTGGATTTCGGGTGGTCATAAGGGACCGATGGGGTGCAGCCCATGGTCTCAAATTCTGAAAGTCTCAAAAGACTTCTGGAACTTGGCTTGGGTGGAACCGGGAGGAGGCGCTTGGGTGTCGTTTTGGTATGATGTGTGGATTAAGGGCCAACCCTCGCTTGCTGAATCCTTCCCAAGAGTTGCCGCTGCTGCTGCGTCGCCGATCTGTCACGTCTCCGATATCCTGCTTAATGGGGAGGGATTTTTCTCTTGGGATTTAAATCTCAAACATGGGTTACGGGGTGGGGCTGAGAGTGAGAGAGTTAACCTACTGAATCTACTTCATAATCTTCCATCTAGTTTGTTCTTTGCAGGGCCTTCGAGATTGTGTTGGGAGCCATCTCCAAGCTCCGGCTTCCGTGTGAAATCAATGTACGAGAGTTTGATTGGTGGTCAAAGTAACTCTGGAGCCGAGTTTCCTGTGGATGCGGTTTGGATGCAAGGAGTTCCCTACAAAGTCTGTGTGTTTGTATGGCTCGCGTATCACAATAAAATTTTGACCCAGGATAATCTGAAGAAACGTGGATGGGCAATCCCAAATCGCTGTGTTCTGTGCTACAAGGAGGAGGAAAGCGTGGATCACTTGTTTCTGACCTGTAGCTTTACTCTCAGAGCTTGGCAGATCATGAGGAGGTACATCAAACTACCTACGGCTTTGGATTCGAACCTGTCTGCTGTTATTAGAGGATGGAGCCGAAAGAAACCAGACAGCCCGCAGGAGTGGTGCACCAGAATTTTTATACATGCTTTGTGTTGGCGGTTATGGAGGGAAAGAAACAGTAGAGTCTTCAAGGATGGAGGAGATTCAGACACCGTGGTTTGTGTTAGAATTGGACGTGACATCTCGGACTGGTTATGCGCCAACAAAAAGATGGATAGAGTCGTTGCTGATGATTGGTTGAGGAATCTGAAATTTCAGTTGATGCCAAGAACAGGGGCTGCTGCGCAGTAGTGAAGCTGGCGTTCGTCTTTGAGCTGCTGTGTTCGGTGCTGGTTTTTGCCTTAGTCTTGCTTCTTTTGTTTCTCCTGTTTACTTGTAAGGTCTGCTTTCCATGTTCAGCAGGTTTCAGCGGGCCTTTATTTTGTTCTTTCCTTTTCCTTGCTGCAACTCTTTGCTGCAGCTCTTGCTGCAACTCTTTGTTTTTGCTTTACTTTGATAACTAATAATATATTTCACCATTATAAAAAAAAAAAAAAAATTGTGGTCATGCTTTGGTTGGTCGTTTAGCTATAAGATGATTTTTATACCAATCAATTCTGTCGGTACCAACTTTGTGGTTTTTTCCAATACACGTGTATCCATTTTGCATATATAAATATGTCATTCCATAGCATGTGGTTTGAGCAGAAAAAGGTTGAATGGATTAAGAATGACTTGATCAAACTGCCGAAGTAGTCAGTTGCGATGCTGTCATAATGAATAGAGTAGCTTGATCAAGCTGCTGAAAGCCTGAAACTATTGGTTCTGATACTATCAAGTAAGTCCAAATAAAATGCTACCATTACTTATTTTAGCAGTTAATTGTTGTTTATGTGCTTTTAAGTATTTCATCCAAGTTGTTATAAAAATAAAAAAAAGTATTTCATCCAAGTTACATGATGATAACGATACGTCCCCGAGTTTGAAGGTATAATATGCATACTATTTCTTATGCAAGCTAACTTTATAAAGTTCTGCAACTTCCTTATCTGATTGTAGCATGTGTTTCTAGGCTTTTAGATATTGAATGCATTTTTCCAGGATCTGTGTTCCTCGCTCGCACTTCTCATTGCCCCGCCCTGGTTCCCTTAGGGCCTCTGATCCTGACAGTTTCATCGGTTCTCGGCAAGGTCACCTGACCTTTTTCTAATCTGCGACTGCAACCATAATGGGTCTTCCAATCTAAAGGCGAAAGAACTAGACCAGTTGAATCGGTCAAGAGAAGAGGAGAGAAGCTGGTAATGTTAAATCTCACTGCTTAGCTTTCTCTACCACTCGGAAACCCTGTCTTAAGAAGTCTTTACATTTTGGAATTGTGATTCATAGTGCTATTGGGGCTGACCATTCAATTGCTGCTTTAAATCAAGTGGTTATGTTCCCCGACCCCTTTGAAACTCAAGGTGGCTAAGTCATTCATGGAACGTCCCACTTATCATAGGTCTTGATAATGGGTCTGCAATGCTAGCTGAAAGATCCAATCCTGCTATTTGGACTATTTACCAATTCCGCTAACCTAAGTTGCTAAATTCTAAGATTAAATTCAGAGAAGCAACAGATGGTTTCAAGTTTGAGTGGTCCTGTAAGGCAGATCCCTCAACTGTTTAGCAGCTGACCTATTTTAATGGCATGGGAATGATCCTTTTCACCATAGTTTGATTCTGCAGTTTTATGGTCTATCTCTTAATTTCTGCTTGCCAATTACCGATCCTTAGAGTATGATGTATATGGTAATGTTTATCACTTTATCTTCATTCTGTTATAGCAGGAATGGAGAAGTTTAGCATGAACAGGCCTTCATTCATAGGAGGTTGGTGCCCCATTTGCTACATAATTTCTTAAGACATCCATCCATAGCGAGTGCAGATTTTCCTTTGAGGTTTGGAAATGGAAATGTCACGGTCACTGCAGATATCGTATGGGGCACTATCTGTCAGTTCCTGTTGGAAATTGTTTGGGGTTTTTATTGGCCGACTCAGACAGAGGCTACTAAAAGATTCAAAGGAAATTAACTTTGATTTAAATTCAAATGTGACCGACTTACATACTTGATGTTCCCAGACCTTTCCGACTCATATGTTGCTTTGTAGTTTTGTATTATAACCTCATTTCTTTTAATGCGTAGGCAGCTCTTGCGTATGTGTTGTGATCCAATGGTGGGAATTTCTGTTATGAAACAACCGCCTAGGACAAGTATTGTAATTAATGTGATGAGTTCTTTATTTTTTGGAAAGCTAAAAGATTGTAGATTATCTATTAGATATTTGTATGTAATTATCTCAGCGATTACAGTTCTTTTCCCAATGGGGTGAATTTGGATTGCTTACATGCAGGATTCTTTCTCTCTTCTCTGATATTATTGAAGTTAGAGACAGAATCGATGAAATCCGGATTATATTATTTGACGGTTTCCTATTTTGAATTAATGATTCTCACATTTTGTTTCCTATAACTGCAAGTCCTTCTCGAGTCTTTTATTAAAAAATCCTTCTCGAGTCCCTATTCTCTGAAGTCTGAATAATTTCACGCTTCCAACGTTTGCTTGGATTCTATTATTCTTTTATAGGGATGACATTGAAAGTTATAGCTTTTTTATTATTAAAATCTTAAATTAATTTATCAAAGATGTGATTTGAGTGTGTAAGGGTTTACTTAGATCACACATTACGAAAAATTGTTGCTACTTTTATAACATTTACGTAAATTGCAAATACATTACTTAAATGTTATGGATGAATAGGTATGTCATATATATCAATATTAAACAAACATATTAGTAGTTTTTCCATAATGATCAACACACTACTTAAAGCTTCTGAAGTGATAATTATTTCTTAACCGTAACATATTACATAATATGTCATGTTGAATTATTTGATTTCACATAAATGATATGATGTAAAAATGTAATTTTGAATTAATTTATTTCTTACCGTCGCGGAACACGGGCCAAAAAACTAGTAGAGTTCATGTTGAAAGCAAAATAGTTGCACAGCTTTGTATGTTTGTTATATTCTTTATTTTCGTGAAAAATATTTGGTCAAACGATGATCACATAATCAATATATTTAGAAGATTATCAATTTGTCACTATTCCATGAACACATAATCAATATATTTAGAAGATTATCAATTTGTCACTATTCCATGGATATATATACTTGTTTGGTACTCATCTTTGCCTTTTCCAGTTTCTGGTCTCCTAAATTTCAAAACCAAATGGGTTCATAGCATAATTTGGCTTTCCATTATGCATTTTTCTAAACATGTGTTAAGGAAGGAAAGAACACATCGTCAAATATTCAATATGATTCCACAAGATCTAGTTTCGTTCAAGGAACGGTTCTAGCCAATTGAAGGGATGTTCTGATTAATCCAAAGATCATTTTGATTCCATTAGTAATAAGGATTCAAAATATCACACATTGATCCATCAAAGAGAGATTAAACAACTAAAACTAAAAGAAAGATCAATTCTTTACGACCTTTCCTTTCTTCAAACGGAACGAACAGAGATAGAATCACACCAATTCCCTAAATGCCCTTCTGAAGAGTCATCAATGTCCTGGCTATTCACGGAAGTAGAAAAAATCGAAGAAGTTCTTGGGAATCATACAATATTTTTTCTAACAGGTGGTCAGAACTTCATCTATGTTTGAATCCTACGAAGATGCCTACTAGAGATCATAAATTGTAGAAGAAAGGATAAGATATTTCTTTTGTCCCTTCCAAGCGATCGGAAAAGAAAGAAATAATTAATATATTCATTCTATTTCATAAGATCCAGGATGTGATATGGTTCTGAAGGATGAACTGGATATGAACAGTTACAATAAGTTTTCTTTCTTGAACAAAAACTTTTTTTTTTACAATCAAAACCTAGATGTTTATTAATTGATTATGGTATCATGTTCCAAAATAGATAATAGAAAGACAGGTGGCCTTCCAGCCGACCAGCCCAAAACTCCTATGCATCCCAACAACATTGTGTGTGGGCCAATAAGTGGGATGTTTGGTTGCATTCCCTTCTTGCAAAGCTCCATTTGATCGACCCGGTCCAGTTAGATTCCATTTCGACCTCCTCAATCAAAAGCCCAGCCTCTGTCCTTGTCCTCACCTTGTTCTTTAGCGATAGAAAGATAGTCTGACAATCCGTCTCTACCACAATCTGCCGCAGGTCATGCATTTCCTTCAACCGGAGACCGAATTGGATCGCCCAGATTTCAGCCAACTTCGGTGACCACTAAGCTCGCTCTCTTCTAAATGCTGCATACAGGAAATTCCCTATCTCATCTCGTATGACGGCTCCGTATCCTGTGCCCTTGCCAGTCACCACCGCCGCATTGACATTCATTTTCAGCCACCCCACCGGTGGTTTTTGCCAGGTACGGCTTCGCTCCTCTGCATGAATCGTCCTCTGGTTGTTCTAGTTTTGGTATTCCTCCTAGTGAGCAATCGCTTTACCAGCGATTTCCCATTCCTCTACCTTATGGTTGTTAAAGCACTGATTGTTCCTCTCATACCAAATGAACCATAGCAGAACCCCAAACTGCCCTAGAGTGTCATCATCTACCATTTCCATTATTTCGCAAAACCAGCTCCCAGGAGATAGGGTTCCATCTAGTTCGACTACCTTCCTGAAGGAAGTATGTTTCCATATTCGTATTGCCCACTCACACTCCCTGAAGATGTGATTTTGGGATTCCTCCAGATCGCAAAAAGGATAGTTGGGGCTTGCATCCCTCTTCCTGGTCTCCAAGTTATTCCTGTAGGGAGTATATTGTGAGCCAGTTTCCATAGGAAAAACCTTTACCTTTGGGGGGATAGTTAGTTTTCATAGATGCTTCCAATTCATAGGGTCATACACCTCCACTTCTATCCCATGTTCCTCAGTCTCGAGCATCGCTTCCTCCCAATGTATCTCATGCTCTGTTTTCTTATTGAACCAGTATCGATAAGTTGTTTTTACAAAATACTTGCCATTCTTCTCGAAGCACCATAATCGCTCATCTTGTGTCGGTTGTCTGGGGATTGGGGTCCCTTGAATGCTGACTCTGTCCACTTGATTAAAGTGCTGTTGTAGGATATTAGACTTCCATGATCTGCTGTCATGATCAATTAGCTCAGCAACTGTGGATGTCTCCCCAATTGCACACTGTGGAGTGGTTACCTTGTAGCCATCTTCCTCTGCATTTGCCAGCCACCTGTCCTGCCAGATATTAACCATTCTTCAATCTCCAATCCTCCATCATAATCCTTCCTTAATCATTGTCTGAGCTGCCATTAGGCTTCTCCACGTGAAGCTAGGATTATAACCCACCCTTGCCTAGAGCACATCTGTATTCGGATAGTATTTGGCCTTCAGGACTCGTGCTACCAGCGATGTTGGGTTTTGAAAGAGGCTCCATATCTGTTTCCCCAGTAGAGCCAAATTAAAGGTCTTAAGGTCTCTAAATCCTAAGCCTCTCTCTTCCTTAGGCTTACAAAGTTTTGTCCAAGACTTCCAAGGGATACGTCTCTCTTCCTTCTGCTGCCCCCACCAGAAACGTGACATAGTGTAGGTGGCTTCTTCTTGAACCAGTACCGATAAGTTGTTTTAACCGTGTCCTTGTCTTGGTAGAGCTACTGCCAAAGCTCCCTTTTCCTTCCTTGTCCACCTATAAGTCAAATAGGCTCATGTAAATCTTGTCTATAAATAGCTTGCGGGTAATACTTATAAACCCTAAGTTGTTATTCTCTTGTTCATCAATAAGAGAAGGAGTAAGAGACCTAAGCTTTTCTTTGATTATTCCTACTCACATCGAGTAGGGAAATCACGTAAATTGTGTGTATGTGATTCTTTTCGCTTCCGCATTCTGTTATTTTACAAATTGGTTTATAACTTTACCGCGGTTTAGCAAGTGGAATGGTCTGACCAGTGGTACAACCAGTTTGTGTCAGTTCATGTCGGTTTAACAAAATATGTAAAAATAGGAGATTCCAAATAAAATTATAAATATTTATATTTAGATACAACATTCAATGCCAATATCTAGACGTTTATATTGAGTCCAGCAAATAACATCAATATTTAACTATAAAATTCATAAAAATAAATAATAAATTATTTTTTATTACTTAAATTCACTAAAACGACGTCATTTTGCTTAAAAGTTGTAAATCGATCATGGCACTCATATCGGTGGTGTTCATGCCGGTTTCATGAACGACATGGTTAAACCAAGTTCGATTGGCCAACATTTCACTAGCACGACAACCATAGTTACAAGAACTCTGAAGTAGGGGGTGGGCATGCGGATGGTTAATTCATTATTTGACATCGATCCACCTGCAAATAACCTAAATCGTAGTGAGTGGGTGATTGATATGGGTGCATTGTGGATTGATGAATCTCCTACAAGCACTTATTCGGGTGCATGGTGGGTGGATTGCAGCTCACCTGAATGACCCGCATAGGCCTGTCGGTTCGATTCGGTTCGGGTAACCGAACCCGAAACCCGCGAAAAAATGAAAACCCGAACCCGAGCCACACAACCCGAAACTGTACTTTGTGGGTTTCGGGTACTAGAACCCGAAAATTATGCTGGCAGTTTTGGTTCGGTTCGGGTGAACTTGAAACCGAACCTTTTTTTTTGTACTTTTGTGATTTGAATTTTACATTCTTTTGCTTGTACAAACAATTTTATTCTTATTATTTGTACATTCTTATTTAACCATTATGTTTAATTTTATGGGACGTGGACAGTATAAAACTAATATTTATATATTAGTTTATTATTAAAGTATTAGCTAATTATTAAAATATTTAATTTTATGTATTCTATAACTATAGACATACTATTAACTATTAAAGAGTATTAGTAGTTTAGAGACAAAGTAAAATACTTAAACATATTTTATACGTAACTTAATCATATCTTATTTAATTATGGATTTTCGTATAATTAAATGTTTTAGTAATACCATAAGTCCAAAATTGAAGGTATATCAACTATCATATGCAAAAAAATGTTTAGTGTTTGGCACAAAATTATAAATAATTTTGTTCAACATAAAATACCGACAATCATAGATGAGATTATCTTCAACTCGTAATTAAACACATTAGTTTTACAATTCTCAAATGATAACATCCAAGTAAAATCAAAGTTCATCCACCATACAAGATAAACACTACTACTATTATCACTCCTCATCAGGCTCTACATCCACATAAGTCTCATCATTCTCATCAGAATTGTCGTTGACATAGTCTTCTTCCACTTGTGACATAGTAGGACTCGGGATCAAAACATGGGTAGCAGGAGAGCTTCCACTAGGTCCTGCAGGTGCACTTGCACTCCGAGCTTGAAAAGCTGCATATACTGGATAACATAAACAATAACAACTTGTTAGAATATGACTTGATCAAGATAACAAATATAAGAATAAAGAGAAAGATTAAGTCCTTACCATTTTGAAATACCACTTCATCACTCTCATCTTCTCCATCAGCCACCAACTCGGAGTCTGAAGATCTTATCCAATCTTCACAACAAATCAAAGCCTCCACAACTTCAGGGGATAAGGAGGTCCTAAACGAATCTAAAACTCGACCTCCTGTGCTGAATGCCGACTCAAAAACAACAGTGGAAATAGGAATAGCGAGAAGCCGATGGTGCCTCACTTTCCCTGTCAAAATGAAAAGTTGAGTTGAGTACAATTCATTAACTATACATATTAACAATAATTAATCATGTTGAGCTTTTACCCCACCCCTTTCAAAGATAGTCCCGAGAATACGACACCACCATAAGCATATGGCACAAACAAACAAAAGGAAGGACATATTTGTTTCATTAATTAGGAAGGACATATTTGTTAACATACACGGATACACACGCTTTTCAGTCTCTCAATGCCCATGTCCTAAGTGGTAAGTTAGGAGAGTAGCTGCAGTCTTTTTCTATACGTTTTTCACTTGAACATAGATGATGCCTTTCAAGATTTATCTATACATATAGACTATAGTTGATGTCCATAGGAGAGTAGCTGGTTATAAGTTTTGTCTTTTTCTATACGTGTTTCAAGAAGGGATATGGCAACTCAAATGAGTCCATATAGCAAAAGCAACCACTCATCTCCAAGGAGGTCTTCTCCTCTAGCTATTTTAGATTCAGGAAGTAGAGAGCATCCTTCTAAACTGGAGATCAGGGAAGTGCAGTAATAATATTGAACTTCGATATTTTAACCACTTCATATATAAATGGCAAGGACAAGTAGTCAAGTAGCCAACGTGAATGCCCATTAATTGCAGTAATAATACGTCAAAACATAATCCCTGAATCACAATCAGTTAGTCACTAAATATTTCCAACTAATGAGCCCCAAAAGAAAATTCTGAAACTGAATTCCCAATTACACTCTGCTTCCAGAACAACATGCGGGGGAAACGAAAACAGAGCACTGAACACTAACTAAGCCCCAATCAGGCAATTTTCCGACGCTCGCCTTCACGGCGAGATCACACAGATCCGAAATTGACAGCGGCTTACGAGCGAAGCAGACCGACATCAAAAAGTAAAGCTACCCACCAACCACAATCATGTATAAAGAAAGAATCACACAAAATTTCCAGTCGATACACAAGACTCCACAACCATCTGGTCGCCAAGGAAAAGAGGAATCGAGTAACAAAAACCCTAACAAATTAGCTACGGTAACAACTAACAAGAACCCAGTAATAAATTGAAGCAATAGAAGAATTGTTCGAAGAGACTCACTGGGATTCCATGGCGAAGTGCGAACTGCGAAGGGGTGGCGTCTCCTTTGTTGAAGCTTCAAAGGGCTACCTGCTAAAATTGAAACTCAAAATGATGAAGCCAGGAGAGGAATCGACGAAGACAGGGAACTCTAAAACCATATCGGAAAAGGGTTGCGATACCCAAATGCGCCTGCGTCGACCCCCGACGGGGGAAGCTTCGATCTTGAACGAGCATATGAGTTCGTCGGCGACGGGGGAGTCTCTGATTGCGCTGCAGCCTGCAGGGTAGGGTTGGCGATGGGTGTGTGTGGCGAATGGCGATGCCGCGCGCGATGCTCAATTGTCGAATTGCGAAAGATCCCTACAAACAAAACGTCAACGTAGGAACTAAGAAACTGTTCGGTTTTTCGGGTTCCCTATCGGGTTTCGGGTTTATGAAACCGAAACCGACATGTACATTCTCGGGTTGAAACCGAAAAATCGAACCCGCAGACACTTGTTGGAGGTTCGGGCTCGGGTTAAACCGAAAACCCGAAACCGTTTTGACAGCCCTAAACCCGCACCATATTTTTACATGAGAAAATGTTTTTTCTTGTTTATACTACTATCAAATAGTCATCATATTTTCTAATCGCACTACACGCTGACCACGGACTTCTAAAGGTGTAGTTGGTTAATATATTGTGTAATGTCCATCAAATATGCGTCAGTTTTTTCTGCATATTTGGTTAATTGAGTAATGAAATTTTTTATGTAAACACTACACATGTCCACATGAGAAAAGGTGAAAAGTGTCTAAATTGATACCATCTTACAAATTTGCAAGAAACTTATTATAAATGTTAATCAAGTTTCACTAACTTGAAAATTATTTTTAGGATTAACCCACAACCAAACCACACCCACCTCACCCAACCAACCCATTTTCCACCCAACTCTGAAGTATGAACTATTTTTCATTAAAAAAATTAACAAACTAGAATTTTTTTAAGAAAATTTTTCTATGGTTAGTTAATCGCCTTTTTTATAGAAATCATTTTTTCGAAGGGAAAGAAATTATGACACATCATCCAAAAACGAAAGTAAGTTTGGGACAAATACGAGCGAGTCTCGGATCCCAGGTGAGAAGAACGCGTGCGCACTTGTCTCTGTCTTTTCCTCATCAACAGCTCGCTTCTCTTTCCCAAACAGAACCCTTTTCGTCCGGCGCCTTCTGATGCTTCTTCGTGCTCAACAATGGCGGGACTCAACGACGACCCGGTTGACGTCTTCTTAAAAGGGGACGCTCCCTCTATCCCTCACTCCTCTTCCTTGATAAGTCTCAAGACCCACAAATTTTGTTCCGAGCCGTTGTCGATGGTTGTAATCCGTGATTCTTCTCCAACCAGCAGCGCTGATCTCTCAATTTTCCCACCTAGCAGCCATGAAAATCTGACCCCTTCATCATCTCTTTCTGATCACCAGTCGCTGCAGCAGTTCTCTTCCTCCGCATCTAGCTGCGACTCGCCTGGTCTTCTCATCAATCTGGAACCGCAAAAGTCGCCGCTAATAGCTTCACCGGTGTCTCCCTTCTTGTATCCTCGATCCAATTCAGGCCCATCCTCGTCCGAGCAATTCGATTCCGACCCAGACGGATCATTACCACAGTCTCCGCTATCGTATCCCTCGTCGGAAGTTGATCTCCCGTCGTCACCGCTGCTTCCCGTGTCAGCGCCGCCCAGATGGTGGGGAGTAGCTCTTCGGATCATCCGCAGCAAAGTTGGGAATTTGGGGTCCCTTTTTGGAGGGGAGGGCAACCCCAGAAGCCGGGGTGTTTGGTCGATGGGGAATTTTGGGCTGACGGTAGCCGCAGTGTCAGTAATGTGGTGGTTGTGGTTGAGAGAGAGGAGGAGGAGAAGGCTACAGCGACGAAACAGCGTGGGGCAGTTGGTGCAGATTATGAGAGAGAAGGACGAGGTTTGGTTTCTGTGAACACATAATTCTCGCCCATTGTGATTTCACTATACTTTGCTTCTTAGGTGTTTGTGAAAATGCCTCCGAGAGAATGGATTTTCTCAATCATTTCTGTAGGTTATTTCATATTTGACCTCTGAGCTGCGTGGATGAGGCCTGTAATTTGATTTTTTTTCTGTGTTGTGTTTTGTATGGCAGAAAATTGTTCAGCTCCTAAATCAAATAGCTCAGTTGAACGAGTTACTAATAGGACGCCATAAATTGTAGCAGCCAGGCAAAGGGATATGATATGAGTGAGAAAGAAAGGGAAAAGAAAACAAGGATGGATGGGCAAACAAATTGGATGGGACCTCCCTGAGTCCTGACTAACGAGCAATGCTAAGCAATGAAGGCTTGTTTTTCTATGGCATGGCGGGCAGGCAGGCAGGCATCAATCAGTCTTTCATCACATTGGCTTGTTAATACTCTGCATTAGTGTGCAAACGGGAGCCCAGGAGAAGAAGCAGAAAGGGAAATAATGAGAATGAGATAGCATGTATTGTTGGGCTGCAAGAGCTGCTGTTCGTAGCTGTATTAATCATTCAGCTCCACTTGTGATATTAGCATAGCAGCAGCTACTGGTTGCGGCACAGGCCACTGAGTCGCTACATAGACAGACATCTCCTCTATGTCTATCTATATGTGGAAGCCAGGAGTTCAGATGATTTTAGGATTCAAATGCACATTTTATACACCCGTTTAGTTTTTTCGTTTTAGGTTTTGGTTGAATTGATGCAGAAAGATGGAGCATGTTCTGTTTGATCTGGGTTGTAGAGGCTGATGATGATAAATTTTTATTGCTATGTATTTTGTATTCTCGATGGATCTCAGACTTTGCAGTTACAGGTAGCATTGTTTGGTTTTCACATCACATATTCCCTTGATGCCAAATATTATCTCTTTTTGATGAATAATCGATTACTGCATCTACTTAAGACCGAGGAATCGGCTTACGCAAACAAGTGTAATAAGAGCCTACTTCCAACGGAGGCAATGAATAGCAAGAGCCAGTGTCCAAAGAGAAACAAGCAAGCAACAAGTTAACTGTTCAGAACAGTTCACAACAAAAACAGGAGAAGAAACTTAACCTCCGCGCTTCGGAATCATATATTTTCATAACTGCATGGATAAAGCTTGTATTAACCCGTCAATTTGGAATCTAAAAACAATTTGTCCCTTGTTTTCCAACCCGTCAATTTTCATAACCGCATGGAGGAATCAAATCCTTATACTTGTTATCCAACAATTTGTTCAGAAATACTGTAATGAAATGAACATATTTTTGGCTCTCTTTAGCCCTGTATCTTATCCCTAGGATGTCTTCCTCCACTACCCGGTGGGCGCCGGACTAATCATGCTACGACTTTGAAACCATCACAGACGAAACTAAACAATAAGATTCGTGCCTAGCATATCTTTTCGGCGAACTGAGTCTTTGTTTTTTTTTTTTTTTTAATGGAATCTCCTCCTGTCTGTATTATATAAGTGAAGGGGCGGCCGGACCCTCTTGTTTTAAACAAAGGCAAAGTCAGAGTCTTGGTATCTCCTTGCTTGTTTTAGGGGAAGCAGTAGCCATGTCTGCCTCATACCCTTTCTTAACCCTTGCGTTGGACCCAAGAAACGTTTCTTCCACTATCTGTGCAGACTTTTCTATGGCAGTATCCCAAGACAAACATTACTCTTCAACTGTCAAACCTTTATAACTAGTGTGTTCTTTCATTTAGCACTTGAGAAACAGACAACTCATGAAACCAGAAGAACAATGGGTTCCCGCTACATATATACAGAAACAAAAACAATAACAGATATGAGAAGTCGTCCTAATTCTATTGGATCAGCAGCAGCAGCAACTATCATGCATATCGGGTTCTTAATTCTTATCATTAATGTCCACTGCATATGTACACAGGCAATGACAGAAAAGAAAAATCAAGGTAGCAGCAGCAGAGTTACAATAACGCAGTCAACCAGCTAGTACACAGCCACATGCATGTACAGTTGCTTCTGTTATCATGGGAGCTGTAACTAAAGTACATTGCTGGCAGGACGCTACTTCCTTTCACATGACCAACAATGCGACAGAAGAAATAAATATAAATTGCCAACACCAGATATCAGCATGACATATGTTGCAAACGCCACAAACACAAGAGCTGGTAATCTGGTTGCAGCTGCATGCCACACCAGCAAGCACTAGTGAAAACAAGAAAGCATCCGATGACATTGAGCTGAATCAAGGAATATATAAATCAGTAGAGTACCATTTCAATTTTCAGAATCAGAAACCTAAGTCGCAACATATAACTGATTTATCATCCATTTCCTCCATCCACAACTAAAACACAGAGCAGGGAAGACCAAACTGAATTGTCCATCTATAAATTAACTCTACCCCTGGTGTTCTGAGAAAACACAAACAAAAGACGACAATAATGTAAGCAAAAACTTGCGTGAGAAAAGCTGTAAAACTCTGTTGAAGTGGGTTGTAGGCCTGCCTTTTTGACTGGAGGAGTTGCACGTTTCAACAACAAAAAGAAAAACGGAGATTACATTTACCTACATAAGTATGACGAACATTGTAACAAATGGCTTTGCTTTCACCTCCCCGGCTAACTCTTTGTTTCACTGGATCTGCTACTCTCCTTCTCATGGACCGGACGACGAATATCAACTTGGTCCACGTACTCCAATGGCTTTGCAGTTTCGTTTGTGATCCTCTTGATCTTGGGGCTCAGCAGCCCTCTATGCCCAAAACCATAAAACTTAAGCACCTGATTGTCAGCAAAATTGAAAGCCCTCTCCATGCTCTTCAAGCACTTCTCGACCGGGTAATCCCCGTAGCTCCCACAAGGCTTGCAACCAACGAAATGAGTGACAAAAGGCCACCTCTCGTCTCCCAAACCGGGATGATACTTCTCAATCATCTCTTCATACCTCTCGACCAACCCTAACCAGTACCCATGCAAGTAATACTGATTCTCCACATACACCTTGTCCATCCACTTCTCCTTCTGTGAGAGCAATAAGTAGATCAATGCAGACTGATCATCAGCCTCGAATGCCGGCCTCCCTTTGAGGTTGGCAGTCAACACTTTCCCCGCTTCCTCACGAATGGGGCCCTTTGGACCCATTGGAGCCCAAGTATCAAGCAGATCAAGACTCCATTGGCAGTTCCTGAACAAGAAACTACCAGTGTTCAATGCAATCCAGGACTTCTGCTCGAAGAGCAAATCTGGGTAGCCATGGATCACCAGGTTATGGTTGGTGTACTTGGAGAGAGGGACCTCAAACACCATATCAGTAAACATAGCATCACTATCCATCCACCAGATCCACTCTACTTCAGGATGAGATAGCATGAGGCGCCTAATCATGGGCAGTTTGGCCCAGTACCCGGCTAGCTCCTTATCCAAATGCGCCATGTTGTAAACAATCTCAATCCCGTGAATCCTACAGTAGTCGATCTTGTTCTTAACAGCTTTCAACAAGTAATGATCCCCAATGGGGTTGTCGCAAGGGTTGGGAGGGGAGCCGGTGAGGAGAAGAATTCGAGGTTTGCCGTTTACGGAGCTGGGGAATTCAGGGTTTTGGGAGAGCCATACCTTACGCTGTTGATCCCAGCCGAGAATTTTGGGGCCGAGGGCGTAGGTGTCGTTGAGGGAGAGGAATTGGGGCTCGTCGGTGGAGCCGGCAGGGTCGTCGGGGTCCTTGTCGGAGCGGATCTCGGCGAGGACGCGGTTGGTCTCTTCGATTAGGTTTTGGTTGACGGCGTCGGCTTCGGAGCTGGATAGGTTGCCGATCCCGATTGTGCCGCGGAGGACGAGGATGGTGACGAAGCCGCAGAGGATGGTGATCTTGATGTTGTTGAAGGTCTTGTGGATCTGCCTGCCCCGTGGGATCATTGTACGGGCGGCGGCCCTGCCGTTGGCGGTGGTGGGTAAGGCTGAAGCACCGACGCCGCTGGATCGCTTCTGGGTTGTGAAGGTGGAGCCGTTGTCTTGCCCCATTCAAATTCAACACCCCAAAGAAAAAGCGCTCCCACTTCACTCAGCTCCAATTATAGAGCTTTCGTGAAGTTGAAGGCTGGAAACCAGACTATCTATTCTCTCTCTTGTTTTTTTTTTTTTTTTTTTTTTTTTTGTGGGTGTTATATCAAAAAAAATAATGGGGATGGCAGAGGAGAGAAAGAGAGAAATGGGATCTGAAATCTTGATTTGTCTTGCATTGATTTTGGGTGTGAAATGAAAATCTAATATTTTAATTTGGGAAGATGAATCTGGTCGAATTCTCACCCTTGCTTCCACATTTGTTGTTATTCTGAGAGGAGAGGACGAAAAGCCGGGTAGAGAGGAGGGGGTGGAAGTGGAACGGAAAAATGATGCACCACCGGGAAGGGGTGTCGGTGGTCAGTTGAGAGGCGACGGTGAACGGCGGCCGGGGAGACAGGAAAGTGGAAGATTAGAGAAGAATTGGGAGGAGAGTGGGGTTGGTTTTGTATTGTTTGGGTTTGCGTATTCTAACAAAACAGGGAGTTGTAGTGTGTGTATTTGGAACAGCGGCGGATCCAGAACACAGAAGAGCACTGGGCCGCATTTCTTTAAAAGTTTAGAACCGTAAAAAAACATTATAGTTTTTTTTACAATATAAATTGTACACGACGGTATTTTAATTTAGCGAATGCATCAATAATGGAATCCACATCCATACCAATAGTATACATTTTTTTAAAATAAAATACTTTAGCAAACGACTAGAAATTCATCGTTTATTTTGTTGCGAAATCAGTTTTCATATGTTTCATTGTTGAAAAGGTTATCCTTGTAGTAGTTGTTGGTACGAGCAGCGTCAACTCTAGACAAATCTATCGTGCATTGTGTGTCCATACTTATATCCACTAACTGCTTTAGTAAATTTTCAAGGGAATAAACCTCATATTTCTTATAGTCTTTTACGTTTTAGACTTTTAGATTTCATTGTTTTTTTTAGAAAAATAGTCTTTGAAGTTAGAATTTCTAGACTAAATTTATAGTAGTGATTTGAATATGTTAATCTGAATAATTTTTCTAGTTACACCCAATCTTATTATAAAATAACACTAGGCCGAATAACTAGAATCGAAAAATTCATAAACACTATACTAACTCCGAATCCAGGGGAGGGCTGGGCCGGGGCCCGGGGTGGCCACCCCCTGGATCCGCCACTGATTTGGAAGACATATAGAAGACAGGAGGCCATCGCCATCGCCAACCTGTCCGCTTTCGCCTTACTCGTCTCCTCTTTAATTTTAGGGAGTTAATAATTGACGTACTAGATATTTAAAATTATTGCCCTAAATTTGAAAAATGGACACACTTGCCCCAGATTCAATTGGGCTAAGATCATGTGACTAAGTCAATCTCATCCATTAAGCTTCATTAAAATCTTATGGTTTATATTAATTTACTTAGATGAAGGGTAAGATGGTAATTACATAGTTTATTATTTAACAATTAAAATAATAATAAAAATACTCGCCCACACCCTCAGCGCCTGTCCGTTTTTGGGGGGAAAATTCCCGCCGCCCCACGTCCTCCGACGACCGCCCGTTTCTAGGAAATAAATTCCCGCTGGCGGACCATTATTTTGCCCCATTACCCTGCTGGCGGAGCATTATTATCTTTGCACCATTACCCATGTGAGAGAGAGAGAGTTTCTGGTGGGAAATTTTTTTTCCGGCGACCATCGTGGACGGAGAAGAATTTTCCGGCGACAGTGCCAATTTTGTGATGTTTGTTGACATATTTTGTAATGTTTGTACGCTTTGTTATTTTGTAATGTTCGTAAACTTTGTTATTTTTGTGCACCATGTTTATCATTTTTGTCAACCATGTTTGTAATGTTTTTTATGTCTAAAAAACAACCTGGTTGACTTTTGGATGGAACTTCTCTATATAGGGATGGAGCCTCCAAAGTCAACCCGGGTGTTTTTTCCCGTTCGTATGGATTTTCGGTCTAGTTTGTCATTTTTGTCCACCATGTTCGTACTGTTTGTATGTCTAAAAAACACCCGGGTTGACTTTGGGAAGGAGCCCCTCTATATAGGGATGGAGCCTCCAAAGTCAACCCGGGTGTTTTTTCCCGTTCGTATGGATTGTCGGTCTAGTTTGTCATTTTTGTCCACCATATTCGTACTGTTTGTATGTCTAAAAAACACCCGGGTTGACTTTGGGAAGGAGCCCCTCTATATAGGGATGGAGCCTCTAAAGTCAACCCGGTTGATTTTTTTTTGTATGGTTTGTATTGTTTGTCAATCTAGTTTGTATTGTTTGTACAGTTCATACGTTTGTAATGTTTGTGAATCTGTTTGTATGTTTTGTCACTCTAGTTTGTATTGTTCGTATGTTTGTATGGTTTGTACTGATTGTAAATCCGGTTTGTATACTTCATAATTTTCCATAATACCCAAACTACCCCTGTCATTAATTAAATAGCCCTTCCCACTTTTTAACCATTGGATTGAAGTGTCCAGATCTAATGGCTAGGAGGGGCTTAGTCAAGTGACTAAGGACCCCCCCTTAGTCATGGGATCCGCTCTCGATCCAATTTCTAATCTAAACTCCGAATAAACAACCGAAAATGAATTAGGAAAAAAACAAGTAATTAAATCAGACTTAATTTAAATAAAACTTATACAATATATTAGATGAAAACTTGAAAGTAAGATTTTGGGGTCGTTTGCTTGTTGGATTTGGGTCATGGATTTGGTACCCAAATTCCAAGGTTGATGGATTTAACATAAGTCCATTGTTTGTTGAAGGGTGCTAAATCCGTGGGGTCCACGGATTTGGTCTTTATTTTGGAACCAAATTCGTGGACCCCACGAACTTGTAAATCCCACATATTGATTTGGGATTTGCAAATCCTTGATGGTTAGTTATTTATTTAACAAATCCATCCTCAAATCTATATGCAAACATTAGACTCTTCAAATCCATATTCCAATAAATCCAACATAAATTCCAAGATTTTTGTTGGCCAAAACCCTCATTTTTCAAATCCAACAAGCAAACCTATGCTAATTGCTAAGAGACTAATTCAATTCACACAGTTACAACAGTTAATTAACTCCATACTATTGAGATATATTTTTGTTAGGTGAATACTTCTATTGACTGTAAGATAATTGTATTAGTTGCATATATTTTTCTAAGGGTTAACTATAACTATGTGTTCATTGTAATGTTTTATTCATCATATAAATTATGAATTGATGTTTTTGTTAGGTGAATACTTCTATTGACTGTAAGATAATTGTATTAGTTACATGTATTTTTCTAAGGGTTAACTATAACTATGTGTTCATTGTAATGTTTTATTCATCATATAAATTATGAATTGATGCATTAACCGAAATTTCTCACTTAATGATAATGTTATGTTATATTGGTTAATCTGATTAACCAATTGACCAAATCGATTAAACTTTAGTTTGATTAATTGGGTTGTTGTATTAGTTTGGACGGTTTGATTATAATAATGTATTCCATAATTAATAAAATTTCAATTTTTTTGGTTTGATAACTACCATGGCCCACTAGATTTAGTGTAGTCAGATCGTTCTCCCACTTTCTCCAGTAGAGCTGTCAAAATTGAACCCGACCCGACTAACCTGCCCAATCCACCCGACCCACAACCCGTCCGTAACCCGATTTGACAAAAAGTCAACCACCCGAACCCCGCCCGTAACCCGAAACCAATTGGCCCGTAATCCGATTAACCCATAACTTGATGAAGTCGTTATCCGATCCAACCCATAACCCAACCCATTTATATACACTATTTTATTTATATTTAGTTTTTATACTAATATAATGGATATTTTATTTGTATGTGTAAAATATTATCATATTATCATTTTCTTAAATTTTGTATCATTACCTACAATTTATATTCATATATTGATAGTTTGTAATATTTTCTGTCAAGAAGTAAATGATCCAATGGGTTGACCCGAATAACCCACAATCCGACCAGACTGAACCAGAATTAACCCGCAATCCAATAAATCCGTAATTTGATGCACCCGTAAACCGACCCGATCCGTAACCCAATTGACCAGTGACCTGATTGACTCGTAACCCAATTGACTTGCAATCCAATTAAACCGATCCAAATTGAAACCAACCCGATTGAACTCGCAACCCAATTGAATCCAACCCGGTTAGACCCAATCCGAACCCGCCCCAACCCGCCCAATTGACACCTCTATTCTCCGGTGAGCAGGATAACCGAACGGGAATTGGGTCTTGTTGGAGCAAGCACTAGCCACTAGGTATTTACGAAAGGAAAACTTAACCGTGTGATTTTATTAGTTAAGCTGTACCTAGATCACCCATGACGACGTTGTCCAGCCGTTCCATTTGGCATGTGTTGGTGCGAGAATTTTCCTCATAGCGCGTCGCTATGGGGTTTGTTATCATATAACGCGCGCACACGAAGAAAAAGAAAACACGAGTCACAAGTGGGATGTTTCAAGTTTGGTTACTACTGCCTCGGGATCTCTTGACATCTGTCCTTCTGTCGCTGTCGTCTTCTTCAACTCGTTGGCAGGCTGGCAGGCACCGTGATGAAACGTGAAGGCGACTTCCAAGTTCCAACTTCAAGCGCCCCCAGTTCCCACAGCTTTGTTAAAAGCTTTGGAGTCATTCAAGATTTACACTGCCAGCTACCTCTCTTCACATTGTAGCGCTGAAGGCTTCCTTCCTGCATCGTGGACGCAACCAATTTGCACGTCTTGAGATCGACATCTTTTCCTCACTCACGCAGTTATTCTTTCCACCAATCCATTGAACATTGAATCTGGCACCAACAACTTCATCGCATGACCATGACCGAAATGATTCTTTTATTAAGAAAGATCCCCGAATCCAACCCTCTCCTCTCCACTGGCCAAATCTCAAATTAGGAATAAAAAAGATCACATCATTCACAAGGCGGGGTATTTTGAGAAATGAGAAGTACCAATTTCAGTACCACGTTTCTGGGTAATGAATGAACGCAAAGCCCTCACCTCAGAGTTGTTGACATCATCATCATCGTTGCCATGGGTCTCATTTGCAACCACAAACGTTCACCACATTCAAAATATTGCTAAACTGGCTCTCACGTTTTGTCACAACCAGCTTCCTTGCAGTAGCTACACTTGTTTCCTATCTTGATGCTTCTTGTTGTCTTTTCTGACTCCATTTTTGGACTTCCCAAACTGGAACCCAACCTTCCTTCTGGCAGCTGCCTGCAATTGACCTTTTCTGAACTTGATAGGCCTCCTGGTCCTAGCTAGTAATGGCGGTGGTGTGGACTCCTGGAGCCTCACCAACTCCTCCACCTTCCTCCTTGGGGTGAAAACTTCAGTAACCGAGGGATCCAACACAGCTTCTGAGCAAGAAATGTTCTCCCCCATAGCCACGGCCTCATCCCATAGTTCTCTACCCTTGTTGAACTCCCCACCCCTGCAAAGCTTTGGGATCAGCACATCATATACCGGGCCATATCCACCCAACGAACTTCTCTTCATTCGATCAAATAGCTCAACAGCCAGATTTGGCCTCTCGACTCCACAAAGAACACCAATCAAATCATAGAAAAACTTGCGATCCGGTACCAATCCCTCCTCCATCATTTCATCCACGAGTTGACTGCCTTTACCAAATCTCCCACTCAGATACATTACTTTCACAACCAGATAATAGCTGTGCCAATCGGGAGCACACCCGGATCTCTTCATCAACTCAAATACCTTAACACATTCCTTCACTCTCCTCGTCCTTCCAAGACAGGAAAGCAAAATATTGTAGCTAATCGAGTTGGGCTGGATGGAATAAGTCCTCATTTCCATCAGCACATTCAGAGTTTCGGGAACAATCCCCGAAGGGTTGTGTTTGGCATTCTTTTCACAGAGACACCTGATAAAGGTATTGAAACAAAACAAATCAGGCATTACCCCTTCTCCTTTCATCTCTTTGATAACCTTTCGCGCCTCCTTCACGTTCAACTGGACTGACCATCCGTACAAAAGGCTCCTGTAAATGCAGAGCTTCGTACCTGAAATCTTCTCCTTGTGATGCCAAACCACCCCTTGTGCTTTCTTAGCATGCCCTTTGGCACAAAGAGCGGTCACAATGGCACTCACAGTAACACTATCTTGTGGGCATTTGAATTTTTTGTCTAAATTCTTGAACAAGCCTAACGCTTCGTCTTCTCTCCCAAGTTTAACCAATGTCTCGGCCACGACGCCGAAAGTTTGAGGTTCCATAACACGGCCCTGTTTCCCCATGTCAGAAATCAGAATCTCGATTGCTTTATGGTCCTTCTTCTCTGCCAAAACTCGAAGCACGTGGTTGAAGTCTTCATCTTGGGTCTCGAAATCTAATTTTCTACTTGACCAGAGGTAGAATCTTAACAGTCGTCTCGTGGGTGCATCCTCTTTGCAGTGATCTATGATTTTTCTGACTAGAGAGGATGACAAAGTACATGTAAAACCATTCAGACTAGCTTCTAAGTCGTCCAAACCGCCAACGGAGCTAGAAACAACTCCACACAGCTCTTGCAGTTCCACAGGCAACTGATCCCCAGACACAGAAGAGGATAAGGCGCGGATCAGATGCAGGTTATTTGTCCTATTTTGGAGCACAAAGCCAAGCCATCTGGACCTCAGTAAGCAATGCATCCCTTCTTCTCTGTGGGGAAATTCATCGAACAGGTTATCTGCGTTCATGGAAAGCTTTCATTTCCCGTTGATACAGTTCCTCCGTACGAAGCAGAGCAATGGATACCCTTCTCCGAGTTGAGAAGCTGAAACCACTTAAGAATACGATCGGTGAAGCGCCGGAGAATCCAGCAGAGTCAGCCTGCTTTGGCACGCGGCTTGAAAGATTAATGGGAAGGAAGAGGGCCGTATTCGAGGAGGGACATTCACATTTAGAATATCTGAACTAGCAATTTCCGGGCCAAATAAGAAAGTATGCTACATAGTTTAGGCCATGATAGCAATTTCCGATACCACGGGCCAATATAGAAAGTTTGTCTATAATTCGGGCCAAATTAAAGTATTACCCCTAAAATAAAAACAATACATTCTAAACAATACATGGATGGTAACAATTAGAGATGACATGGGTCGGGTTGGGTCGGGTTTTGCCAAACCCAAACCTATGGGTTTATCCGTAAAAAAAACCCAGCATAAAACTCAAACCCAACCCAACCCGCTGGGTATCCACGAGTTCATGGGTACCCATGGGTTTTTGTGGTAAAAAATTTACAATAACAAGTTCCTATCAAAATAAAAGTCAAATACCAATCTCTCAATACAAATTATCCATATATAAAACACCATTCTAGAAAATTCAAGCAAATCACAAATTTACCATACAAATTGTTCAACACCAATCTAGAAAACTCAAGAAAATTGAAGCAAATCACAAATTATCCATAAACAACATGATTAATTGAAAGAAGTAACTGATGTTGTGATTCCAGAACAGGTGCACGCTAGTGTTGTTGTAGCTGAGGAGCAACCAAGGAGAGAGGAGGAGCAGGAGGGGCAAATGGTGGTGGATTCAACCCCACCCATAACTCCTAGTGCCCTTCCATCGCAAGAAGAGTTTAGCAAGGTCATTAATGGTGTTAAGTCTTCAAAGGTATGGAAAACCCTGCCAGAAGTGTGTCAGTCAAATGCGTTTGAGGTATTGGCTCAAAAGGAAATACAATTGCAGTTCCCGCCCCTTCAGAGGGAGGGACTAAGGAGTCAGAAGTGAGTTGTTAAAGCTCCTTCAACCTCATGATTCTTACTTGGAATACGAGGGGCTTTAATGCCCATCACAAGCACCGTGTTGTGCTTGATTTACTTAGTAGTAGTAGAATTAAACTTTTTGCTTTGCTTGAGACAAGAATAAAGAAGGAAAAGGCTGAGAAAATTAAAGAGAAGTTTAGCGGATTCCACCTTGAGGATAATTATGATTGTCATCCGCTGGGGAGAGTATTGGTAGCATGGGATAAGGAAATGAAGGGATCTATTCTTTGCACAGATGCAAATTTCATCCATGCACTTGTGTCAATTGCTCCTAAAGTGCAATTCTTCTTTACAGCGATCTATGCATCAAATGATGAGACTGAGCGAGCAGCAACCTATTCGAGACTAAGCAAATGGAGAGTCAGAGGTTTCCCATGGGTGGTATGTGGTGATTTTAATGCCATTATCAACCCATTTGAGGCGTCTAATATGGTACCTGTTACTCCGAGCATGAGGGTGTTTAGAGATTGGATCACAGAGATGGAGCTAATAGATCATCATGCATCTGGTTCATTTTTTACCTGGACTAATCAACAGAGTGGGAATCCTATTGCGAGGAAACTTGACAGAATTCTGGTTAATGAAGATTGGCTTGACAGTTTTCCAGATAGTGTGGTTGAGTTTCTTAATCCTTCGTTTTCATACCACTGTGGGATGCTTGTGAGACCTTGTCGACCAAGAAAATCCTTCCCAAAACCTTTTAGGTTTTTTGAGATGTGGATGCAGCACCCTTCCTATGAAAGTACAGTAACTGATGTATGGAACCAGCATCTACATGGCCCAATCTTGCAGAGAATAAAGAGGAAATTCCAAATGTTGAAGATTGAGCTCAAGAAATTAAATAGACAGGAATTTATGAATATTTCTGACAAAGTGAAGGAGGCTAGTTCCAATCTGGGGCTGGCTCAGGCCCAAGCTTTAGAAGTTCCCACAGAAAGCACTTTTGAAAGAATGCATCTTCTCACCGAGGAGTTGCAGAGGTTAAGAAGTGCAGAAGAAAACTTCTACAGGCAGAAATCTTGCATTAATTGGCTTACACTGGGTGATATGAACTCTGGTTTTTTCCACAGGGCAGTAAAGATCAGGCAGGCACGCAAGCAACTGAGAAGATTAATTAGTAACTCAGGAGTTGAAATCACAAATGAGGAGGAAATAGCAGAGGAGGCAGTGGGGTTTTACAAGCAATTGTATAGTGTTGTGAATACAGAGGTTAAACCAGACTCGGCAATCATTAGTTCTTATATAAGGAAGCAAATAAGTGATAGTAGTAAAGTAGTGCTATGTGCCGAGGTCTCAAATGAAGAAATTCGAGCTGCACTATTTTCTATGGATCCACTGAAGGCTCCTGGCCCGGATGGGTGAACAACAGGATTTTATCAGAAGCATTGGAGCTTAATTGGTAATGATGTCTGTGAGGGAGTCAAGGAATTTTTCAGAACTAGAGCTCTGCCTCGAGGTATGAATACTGCATCACTTACCCTTGCCCCCAAAACTCTGAATGCTGATAGGATGACTGCTTTTAGACCTATTGCCTGCATTAACGTGCTGTATAAAATCATTGCAAAGGTTTTAGCAAATAGGATTCAGATTGCACTCCCTGAGGTGATTAGTAGGAATCAATCCGCTTTTGTCAAGGGCAGGAGTATTATGGATAACATTCTAATGGCGCAGGAGATGGTGCAGAACTATAATAAAACTAAAATTGCTTCTCGGTGTGCCATAAAAATTGATCTTCATAAGGCTTTCGACTCGGTTATCTGGGAGTACTTATTTTGTGTGATGTTGCATATGGGATTCCCAGCTGAGTTTATTGAGTGGATAAAGGTATGTCTTGGTTCTGCATACTTCAGTATTAACTTGTATGGCTCGTTATTTGGTTTATTTCAAGCTAAGAAAGGGGTAAGGCAGGGAGACCCTATCTCTCCCTACCTCTTCACAATCGCCATTGAGCCTCTCTCAGGCATGCTTGATTTTGCTGCCAGCTCTAAAAGAATCCCCTACCATCCTCAGTGTCGATCAATAGGTCTGAGACACCTTTGCTTTGCTGACGACCTATTGATTTTCACTGAGGGGTCAACAGCTGCTCTGATGCAAATAAGAAGTTTATTAAATGAATTTTACTTATTATCGGGGTTGAGCTGTAATCCTCAGAAATGTGAGGTGTTTTTTGGAGGGCAGGCGCATCTATTTAAGCAGAATGCTATTGAGTGGTCTGGTTTTGCAGAAGGGCAGTTGCCTGTGAGATATCTAGGACTCCCACTATTTTCTGGTAGGCTATCTTCCAGGGAATGTGAAGTCTTAGTTGACAAGTTGACAAATAGAATGCGCTCTTGGCAAGCCAGCAAGCTTACTTATGCAGGGAAACTTCAACTAATTTCATCCGTGTTGTACTCTTTAGTGCAGTTCTGGATGAACATCTTCATACTGCCTAAGAAAGTGTTGGAACTTATTCACAAGATCTGTTCGGATTTTCTGTGGCATGGGGAAGGCACAGGCCGCGCGAAGGTTGCTTGGGACTTAGTTGCGCTTCCTAAAAGAGAGGGTGGAATGGGTTTGAAGGATCTGGGAAGTTGGAACATGGCGTGTGTGGCAAGACTGGTGTGGCTCATACTAATGAAGAGTGTGAGTTTCTGGGTAGCGTGGATTCAACAGTATAGACTGAAAAGGGAGATCTTTCTGGAACATCCCTCTCTCTCAGTCTGGTTCATGGCTTTGGAGGAAACTGCTCAGTTCCATGAGCTGGTTCCAGTACAGGTTTGATATTGATGATGAAGGTAGAGTGCTCTGGGAAGGGAAGCTGATGCCACGTTTTTTGGTGCAGCAGGTGTGGCTGTCTATCAGGCCGAAGAGAGCTAAAGTGGATTGGTGGAAAATAATCTGGAATAAAAATGTGATCCCTAGACACAGAGTTGTTGCTTGGTTAATCATAATGAACTGGATCATCACGAGAGACAAGCTTAAGCAATGGGGGAAAATCTCTGACTCTTTGTGTGTTTTATGCAAGGTAGAGGATGAAACTCGTGATCACCTTTTCTGCACTTGTTCTTATGCTTTGGAATTCTTTGCAGTAGTTTTTGGCTCGCGTTGGTGGCCAAATGATTGGGATGGTCTCATGAACTGGATACGACGAAGAAGCAATAAGGAGGGCAACAAAGGTTTGGTTTGGAGTGCGATCTGGTGCTGGTGTGTCAGTGTTGTATGGAAGGAGAGATGCGCTCTGATGTATAGGGGAGAGCAGCAGTCAGCAACAGAGATGTTCGATCTGTTTATCATGGTGAAGCCAGATGTTCGATTGGAAGTTCAGAAAATTTCTCATTTGAGTAGCCTATTATATGCAGAGTAGGATGTTTTTGAGAGTTATCTGTTGGTTTTGTAAGCAGATTAGTAGAGCGCAGCTCTTTGTTTTTTGAGGGCCCTGTTTTTCAGGCGGAGCTTAATAAAATTTTCGATAATTACCGAAAAAAATAATAATTTGAAAGCTTTTTCCTCTTTGTCAATTAACCTTCTTCACTCTCTACTCGATAATATCAACTTCATTTTACACAATTAGAAATAAAAAATTACACATGTCTCCACAAACATAAAGAAGATTAGTTGTTTAGAATATTAAATATCAGGGAAAATTAATTATATGGGTGTGGGCGGGTACCTATAAGGTGAGTTTATCTAAATCCAAACCAAACCCAACTAGGTGAATAGTAAACGAGTTTAAACCAAAACCGCGCCCAAAACCCGTCAACACGAATTTTACCCGTGTTGACCGGATTGGACCGGATGGGTACCCGTGGATTCGTGTTTTGTTGCCATCTCTAATGACAATCTCCACAAAACAATGGAACTTCCAAACTACCAAACAGACACGTAATCATCAGCAGTTGATTAAACGTTTTTCTTCCAATCCCATTTTCTAGCACAAGCGACCGGCCTTTCTCCGATCATTCCCCTGTGGCGCATTCGCTTCCTGGTCGCGGCAGAAATCGTTCGGTTGGCATCGCGTTCCACTTTGGTGAGATTTTCGAATCGTTCCACTAATCTGATGTCTGATTCATAAATGTTCCCTACAATTACGATGCAATTTTGTGACTGTAAGATTAGACTTCGATGCAATTCGAATTAGCTAATTGATGATTCTTACGTTCTTCTTGTGCCATTGACTATGGAAGGTTGAAGGAGAGCGATGAGTCAGGTATTCGAAGGATATGAACGTCAATACTGTGAGCTTTCCGCTAATTTATCGCGGAAATGCACCTCCGGAAGTGTCCTCATTGGAGGTAAAGAAACAAAACCATAAGCTCGCGTGAAGCTTCTCTGGTAATTGAATTGTTTTGATACATGCGGCTCGATCAAATGGTTAAATGGAATTCCTCTATGTATTTGTTTTCTATGGTTTTGTGGGATTAGTGTCCAAGCTTGAACCAAGAATTCCCTGATGATTGGGTATGTGTTCTTTAGAGAAATGGACCCTGGTCTTTGTCCCGAGAAAGCACAGTTTCGCGATTTGCATTAGCATATATGTGCGAGCGCTACAATTCGTGCCTCATGATGGAGCATCTTGCTTATGCGTGCAGTCCTAAGCATCAACTCTTTCTAGTATTCTCGGATCGAATAGGAGTTTTGTGTCAATAATGTGAGATCCGAAGCTGGTGGATTGGGTGCGGATTTGCATGATATATTGATGCTAAACAAACAAGAAGGCGAATGAAAAGGGAATGAACGATAAAGTTGAATTGATTCGGTTTTCTTCAGTTACTTATATTCGTTTTAATGTTTATGCGGTTGAATGCAAGGTATCCCCAGAAATTGTCATAGTGAATGAATCAAGGAATTGCTAGTAATTTGACGTTCTTTAGAAGTCGAACCTTAGTCTCTTTGTCTAGAAGCATCTTGCACATGACTGCGTTCTGCTTCTGCATTCAATTTTGTGAATCTCTATTTCTTAACATTCTGAAAATGTATAGAGCTATGATTTCTATAGCCTGATTTTCCAAGCAATTGGAATAAGTGCAGATTTTCATAACGTATCGCTCTTCTTTAACTTCCATGCAACCTGTATCGTTGGTCTGCTGTTGATGACTTAGCCAAATTAGGCCGAAGATGTCATCTGTTTTTGTGCTTTGACATGCAATATGCGACTCTGGAAATGAAATCAATGTGCTGTAACTCTATCTCGAATGGAGTTTTCTCTCGTTTGTTAGGTTATCTTACAATGACGAGTTGTGTATTCTGGAATTGCAGAGCAGAAGAAGCAGAAAGTTGCTGAAATTAAAACTGGATTGGATGATGCTGATGCCTTGGTAATATTAATAGCTCTATCCTTACCCAATTTACATCAAATCAAGGTGTACAAATGCTCGTATCTTGGTTTCAATGCCTGATCTGCACCTAAATCTCTCCAGATTCGGAAAATGGACTTGGAAGCAAGGAGCTTGCCACCAAATATAAAGGGATCCCTTCTTGCTAAGATACGAGAGTACAAAACTGATCTAATCAATTTGAAGAATGAAGTTAAGAGGATTTCATCTTCTAATGTCAGTCAGGCTGCCAGAGATGAATTGATGGAATCTGGAATTGCCGATACAAAGATGGTATGTATCCTTGTTTCTGAAATTTTCTTATTGTCGTGTATCCTTTTGATTCGTGAAACTTCAGTTCAGGAAATGTATTCCCTCCTTGTTTTCTGACCTGGTATGCACTTTTTTATATACTGTTTCTGCACGACATCAGTCAGTACAGATTGCGCCATCTTTTCTTGAGTCTAAGTCAATCGTTCTTGCTTTCTCTATTTTATGAGTTGCCATTCAGATCTGGAGCCCCACCTAATTCAACTATTGTTTATCTGCTGAAATTAAAAAGGATGAGGAAGGCTTAGTGAATTTTCATAGAGACCAATGCTGAGTATTGTTATGATCTATTATGTACTGCTTGTCACTAGAATGATGTTACATTCAGAAATGTGATACAAGACTGCACCTATCAAGCTCTGTTCTTGTAGCCAGCTTCAGTAACCAAGTCCTCGCCAAATATCTACAAGAATTTGGTGCCATGCTGGATCAAACTGATACAACATTAGGATTTATATAGAGGAGCAGCATATAGTTTCACTCTAACACTGATACTTTTTATCCCATGTTCGGCAATTCTGAAAGTACTGTTGACAACTAAAATTCTCCAGGCCCAATGAGTGTTGAAAATGGGAGTGATGCCAGTATCATAAGAACTTCTCTGTAATGCTGGGAGGAATTGTGCATTTTGAAAAGGGCTTACACTTGCATAGCGTTGTAATGTAGTTGCAATTAGCAATAACCAATAGGGAAAGCTATGTGGTGCTGATTTGAGCTATCTTTATGTTAACATTTATTTGTAGTAAAACATTTCTGAGGATGAAACAGGTTTCAACAGACCAACGAGGAAGGCTATTGATGTCGACAGAGAGACTTAATCAATCCAGTGACAAAATTAAGGACAGCAGAAGAACAATGCTGGAAACAGAAGAGCTTGGAGTATCCATCCTTCAAGATCTGCATCAGCAACGTCAAGCTCTCCTGCATGCCCATGGCACGGTACGATTCATTCTCCCACCCCATTTGTTCTGTTCCGCTCGTGTCTACCAGCTGCTGATCTTCGGCTTGACATGCACGACACAGGAAACAAAACAATAAGAAACAGTTATAGCATTTTTGCTATTCTAACAGTTTACTTGATAATTTCCTTCGAATTATGAGCATTATTCCCTTTTATTTATTTATTTATTTAAAAGATGAGACACTCGAATATTAGGTTCCCATTTGAGAATGGTATCAAAACAAGCTTAATGAATGTGGGATTGGTTGGGCTGGTTTGTGTACATCATGTGCAGCTGCAAGGGGTAGATGACAACATTGGGAGGAGTAAGAAGGTATTGACGGCAATGTCAAGAAGGATGAACAGGAACAAGTGGATGGTTGGTTGCATCATTGCAGCTTTGGTTCTGGCCATCTTAGTGATCCTCTATTTCAAGCTATTGCGGTAGCCAAGACGAGCGAATCCAGTTTGTTGTAGTGACAGCCAGCCCCCCTCTGATTTTCAGCTTCTTCCAATTGGTGATATGTAGTGCAACCCTTGTATTGCAAAACCGCTTGTGGTTGCTGCGCTGCATATATTGTTCCAACTCTGTCGTTTCAGTTCTCCTCCCAAGGCCTTCCCTTGGCATCTTGTCGGCCTGTCATTTGGTTCCCTTCTTTCTCCTTATCTTTTGCTTGCTTGCCCGGAAGTGGTGTATGGTGTGAAAAACTGTTGGTTTTGCTAATACGTCTGTATGACTGATCAGAGGAGCCATAATTCTCTTTTGCACGTGCACCGAAATATTCTTGAGATTGTCTTCTCGTTTATTTAAGGCAAATGAGAACAGGTACCCATTAAGACCTCCGGGCATGTCCCTTGGGTTTCCTCGAAATTGTGTCGGTCACATATTCAGCAAGAAAAGATTGATTCATTAAGTGATGTAGGTTTGTTTTTATTGTTCATCGTAATTTCAAAGATTTAATTTTGGGATCTTGAAGATCAATAATATTACCGCTAAATGAAGTTCTTATTCGCTACTTCCTATATTATTAGAACTAGATAAATGGCCCGCGCTATGCAGCGGGTTGTCGAGGAAAAAATACCAGTCAATTAGCGTGAAAGACGTTCATCTTTCTTAAATTGTTTGGACGTTCTTAGAGATAAAAAAATGTTGTAAATTTTTTATCTTTAGAAATACCAAAATAATATGGGATTTGAATTATTGAGTATGAAAGTATAGCGCATGGTATGGTGCCAACGATCAAAGTGGAAACTCCAAATTCTAGTGCTTTTTATATGAACAATTTATTTTGGTATGTAACTACGAATTAACAAAACTAATCAAATCATATTGTCTTCTTTGTAACCGTAGGAATTATAGCTTATTCAAAATTGAACATAGTATTTGAACTTTGGTTATCTCAACAAAATGTAAGTGAATTATCCTTAATATATATAAGACCTTCCATAACAATCCCAATATACATTACTCAATTCAAAATTCTTAAGGATATAGATAATAGAAATTAAAAAGATGGCACTGGAATGTGACGAGATAATTTCATAGTATATGAAACATGGAAGATACTAAGTTGCACGAAATAATGAGAAAGATTGTTGATATAATGAGAACGATCACTGAAACTGAATTGATTTTGGCAGGGGAGAATAATCAGCCCTTGAGTTATACAGTGTACCATATGCAAACAACTAAACCCTTAAAACACTGGGAGACAATAAGATTAAGAAGTGCACTATATGGGGCTCATTATGAGATATTTAGGAAATTAAAAATCCATTAAATAGGATTCTACTTTAAAAATGAATGGTCCTTTCCTAATTGATTAAGCAACTAAATTCACTAATTAACCATCCCAAACAAAATTGACACTAAAGATATCAAAATCAATTAACAAAAAAAGTATACTAACAACAGCTAAAAGGTCCTAAAGAAAGATGAGGTTGGTCGTTCCATTACAATATGGACAGTCTTTTAGTTGACAAAGGTATATTAAAATTTGTGGCATGTGAAAATACATAACTTCAGCTCAATTTCCATCATCGACAATATTCATCGACAACATTCTGCAGTTGGCTTCTCCCCTCTGCAGTAAACACAAAAAACCTGCAAATAACACTATCAAAGTCCAGAAGATATTAGTCCTTTTATCATTTTTATAATTTCATTTTTAAAAGGTTTTGAACCTGAATAATTTGTATCCAATAAAGAGAACATCCTATCTTTCTTTAGGTTAGCTCTGCATAAGTATATATTGTCTCAAGGTGTAATTATTCACTGGATACTACACGCTTCATTGGTACAATGCAATGCCTACTAACCATTCCGCTTTCAACATAAGGGGAACAAAAAGCAAGAATCAACACCTCTGAGATATCACTTTTCTTCCAGTTTCAGAACAACATTATAGGTCCAAAACTGCAATCAAGACAATTAAAGAATATTAGCATGAGTCTCAGCTTAAACAGCTATACAACACTTAATAAATCTAATCTATTGAAAAGTTTACCAATTTGAAACAGACCATTAACAGCTCATTAAGTGGATGAATAGTAACTGAAGATAAAAAGTGGAGAATAAAAGAAACTGCAAGATAGATTGAGCTCTAAGGAAGAATTATCTGCACACAATACAATCTAAAATCCCACATATAACCTGCTTAACTTTGTCATTCCCATTTGCAAGATTCCATCTCCCATTTATTTTCTTTTTAACCAAATATAAGGGAAGATAGACAGGGATAAATAGATTTCATTCTTTATGTCATGGAAGGATTAGGAAGAGATATTCAAATTGGAATACCAATCTCATGGAAGGGGCATACTACCAAAGCATCCATGGACCTGACATCTATAACATGGATTCTAAAGTGTTCAAACCAAGCTTTTGTCAACCGTTTGTTTTATCATATGAAATCCAAAAGGAACATCCTCAAGCTCAACTTATATGCATGGCAAGCTAATTCATGGTCCTACTCTAATTCAAGTCAAGGTAGTAATCAGGAAATTATAAATTTTTAAATGACATGACCTTCTTACGTTCCTCTGCCTCTCCATATCACCGTCAGAGTGAATCAAACTGTTGAGAGTGCATTTTGCTGGGAGTAATGCCACGATTACTGTGTGTTCCCAACCAACCATCCAGCTTGTACCAGAACCACAAATTGACTTAGTTGTTGAAGCAACTTCTCTATACAACTGCGTTTTTGGGAACACTGCTGGCTACATGAGCAGCAGAACCCTTATGAGGAAGAAATGGGGTTATCAACTAAACGATATTATGCTGACATAACTTAAAATAACCAATGAGTATGAAAGAATGAACATCTATGCAATTTCTTTGTGTTTTCAAATTCTCTATGTTATTATTTCTGCCTCAAAGCATAGCATATCATTAAACTGCTGCCGTTACATTGGAAGCACCAAGTTTGTTGAGAACATACTGCTGACCAAGTCTTTGAGCATTAGGGGTGGCTTAAAACTACTCTGTGAACCTTGTATTAGTATCTAACACATCAGATGATCAAAATCAAACTATTTAGCTGCAATCATCCTAGTACAGGTAGAAGCGTTAGTAACAAAAGACCATATGCCGAAGACGAAGAGCCACCAAACTGTAGTAAATCATTCGGTTTTTCACCCAAGTATATCTCTCTTCCCATACAACAAACATGGAATTCATAACCTCCTGATAAGTATGGTTAGATGGTGGAAAGGGTGAATTGGATTGTAATTACTATTCAACACCATGTGATTCACCCAACTAAATTCATTGATCTATCAACCGGGAGCTAAGCTAGTCGTATTAGATCACTCTATACTACTTCAAAATAAACTTTTCTAAGGTAACTAATATGTAAAGTTCAGTCCCTGTGATCAAAGAACACCCTGATCTATACCAACCAATTGAAAGCTGATGATGAAAGGAAGATAAAAAAAAAAAAAAAAGCAATAACAAACCTACACTACTTACGGAACACAAATGCAGGCAAGACCACCAATCACAATTAAAGAAGTGATGAAAGCCCAAGAACCTCCATTACGCCCGTGAGGGCTTCAAGATCCCCTTCTCTCTTCCTCCTCCATAGCTGCTTAATGGTTGCCGGAAGAAGAGTGCGCATCTAGGGGGAAGAAGAAACGCCGGGAAGAAAGAGAGACGATGACTGGGACGATCAACAACTGATTCTGGTCTAGCTCCAACTGGCGGCTAGTAGCATCCTTGGTTCCCCTTCCCTTACGATTTAGCTATCAGATCTGAAGAAGCGGACTCGAACCAACTCTTGAGGAGTTGAGATTTCCAACATCACAGAGGTCAGGAATATAGATCGGCGGCAAAGCAGGCTCTTCCCCTTCCAGCTCCATCTTCCACGACAACCCTTTCCTTTACTTTGTTTCGATTCCATGGAAAAGAAATAGGAGAAGAAGAAAATGGATGGTCGCAAGAATCGGAACGCAGAGAGAAAGGACGGGAAAAAAGGAGAGAGGAATCAGGAATGAACGACCCAAAAAAAGAAACAGAGTTCAATAGGAGAGAGAAGACAGACACGTGATTTAGGGATAAGAATCCAAAGGTTCAGATTAGCTAACATAATTATTGATCAACGGCTTAACTTAGCCAGCCCAAAGTTAGTGAACTCGGACTCAGTCAAAACTGGCCGTAGGAAACCCAAATCCCCAAGTGAACAGTACCTCCGATTTTTTCTTAAGGAACAGTAACTTCGATTTATGGTAATTTTTTATTACTTGTGGTTTAATAATTCTAATTGAATAAATAGATCTCATTCCGAGTCAAACAATTTCTGTAAAATTGAAAAGGAAACTAAAAATAACGCTCGGGGCATGGCGAGAGCCTTGTTGTCATTGTTTCTCGTAATTCAATCAAATATGCAGCTGCATCACTGGTTAACCTTTTTCATTGTTGTGATTTTATGGTTTAGGACCCCATTGTTAGACAACAAAAATAAGTTTAGGACCCCACTCTAGGTTTTTGTAGAGCTATGCGCGTAAATATAAAGCTATTACAAAGGTTTAGGACCCCAGTCTATAGAAAGTCTGGCTACGCCACTGTTCTTATCCCATTCTCGATTGCTTGGTTTGCTTTCTTCTTTTTAGGGTTTTAAAAGTGTAGCTTAATAATGATAGCTTGTTGATGGAATAAGTGATTGAAAACCTACTTTCTTTAGATAATATTGTAATGCTCTCTCTTGCCTCTGGTTTGTTGTTTACTATTTATTCATGCACATGCATTAACAGTTGAAAGTTCCTACTCGTCAAGCATCAATGATTTTCTGAATCGCTATTCGTCGTCCTACATTTTAAATTTTATCGCCCTAAAACATACTAAATTGACACATTTATCTCTATCCCTAATTTCTAATTGAACACTTTACAAGCAATCCCTAATTTTTAACTTCCCATTGCTGCTGCCACCGCTGCCCACCACCCCAATTCCGGAGGAGGTTTCTCCTCCAATCGCTGCTGCTCCTTGTACCGCCGCCGCCCCATTGCTCCTGCTGCGCGCGAGCAAGAACGAAGAAAGAAGCAGGAAGGAAGAAGTGGTGGGACAATTCAGTGGCTTTTGCCGCTTTGGACTCTAATGCCCATTGCTTCTTTTGCTGATATGATTAGTACAAGTTAGAGAAAATTTTCACATGGTGATAATAACGACGATTGGGCCTACATTGAGCTGGTCGGCTCCAGCAACGAGTGGATATATGTATTTGTTTTAGGGTTTAAGTGTTTGAAAGACACAAGAATAAACCAAGGACATTAGAGTAAATTAAACACAATTAGGGCGATGAATAAGAATTTTTAGGGCGACGAATAGCAATCCCCATGATTTTGTGGGTCACGAGGATCGGAAAAAATTCAAAACTACCACTGTTTATTTTTTTTTTTTACAAAAATGCCACCCATTCCCAAGAATTTCCAAATCTACCACTGTTTATTAAAAACCGTTCCATTAAGGGGTGGTTCAAACGGAAATCGCCCAACCAGGCAGCGGTTTACCAA